ACAACATAGATCAAAGAGGCCATCTATGTTAAAACTGAAGAACCGTCTGTCAACAGAAGGGGAGGGATATGACATCACCTATTTGCTATCTACAAGACAGTCTTTTCAGGGGTCCCAAGAAGGTTCCTTTTGCACTCTGATTCAGGTGACTCTGAGGATACACATAAACCAGTGGTGAAATTGAGGCAGTTCTATCCGGCTTGGGCGTACCGGTAGCGCCACCTGCCCGGACGTCATCACGTCTCATTTTTGACCCTCTGCGCGTGTGCAGAAGGCTCTGCGCATGCGTGGAGAAGGCACGCACAAGCGCACACTCACATTTGCAAACCGGTAGCGAAGGTAAGTAAATTTCACCCCTGACATAAACCCCCAAGTGGCCTCAATGAGTCTCAGAGAACTAACACTGACCCTCAGAGCAGAGTGCTAACGATCAGATGACTGTAAAGAATATTAATCCTTCCATTCCCCACCATTCAGTCAGAACTTCTTCCATGAGAAGTGAAATCTTTTCAAGAAAAAAAACAACTCCAGTTGCCTCTTGGAAAAGCATCTTTGGGATATTTTCTTGCTTGTTTTGACTTGCATTCCTAATCTGCATTTTATGCTGTTTTTGATCAGTTGGACTGGTTTTTTTCTCTTTTTGTGTAAAAGATACTAAAAAAGAGTTAATCAGTTCCACTTTCATTCTGCTACTCATCACCTTCTTGCCATTTTTGCTCATTAATGATTTCCAGTTTTCCGTTAGTACCTTGAAGAGAGAATGATATATAGTAGTTAAGGTACCAGTTTTATATAGTGGTTAAGGCACCAAGCTAAAACTGGGAGACTGTAAATTCTAATGTTGCCTTAGGCCTTAGGCACAAAACCAACTGGGTGACCTTGGTCTACTCCCTCTCAGCCCTAGAAAGGAGGCAATGGCACTTCTGAAACCTTTCCAAGACAACTGCAGGGACTGCTCCAGGCAGTAGCCAAGAGTCAACACTGTCCCTCTCCCCAATTAAGATGAATAAAATAAAACTTCCAGAAAAGTTATTGGGATGGGCTAAGGCAGTGATGGCTAACCTTTTTGCCATCACGTGCCGGGAGCAGGGCCCCCCCGCGTGCATGTGTCCACACCTATAATTCTATGCACCCTGCCCCCACGCATGTGCATGCAAGCCCCCCCTGCTCCCTTTGCTCCTGGCACGTAAGGGCCCGGTAGGCCCGTTTTTTTTTTCTCCCCAGGCTCCAGAGCCTTTCTAGGAGTCTGGGAAGGGCAAAAACAGCCTTCCCTCCATCAGAGGCCCTCCGGAAGCCAAAAATGGCCCATTTGCCAACTTCCAGTGGGACCGGAAGGCCCGTTTTTCTCTCTCCCCAGACTCCAGAGCCTTTCTAGGAGTCTGGGGAGGGCGAAAAAGGCCTTCCCCACCCCCCTGGAGGCCAGAAACGGCCTGTTTGCCAACTTCTGGTGGGACCAGAAGGCCCGTTTTTTGCTGCCCCTAGGTTCCAGAGCCTTTCTAGGAGTCTGGGGAGGGTGAAAAAGGCCTCCAGGGAGGTGAGGAAGGCCTTTTACATCCTCCCCAGTCTCCTAGAAAGGCTCTGGAGTCTGGGGACAGCAAAAAATGGACCTTCCTCACCACTCCCTGAGGCCCTCTGGAGGTGAGAAACAGCCTGTTTCCCTACTTTTGGTGGGCCCAGAAGGCCTGAAAATCAGCTGGCCAGCGCCGGAGCTGAGCTTGCGTGCCCACCGATATGGCTACGTGTGCCATCTGTGGCACGAGTGTCAGAGGTTCACCATCACGGGGCTGAGGTAATGGATTGAAGACAGTTCCATAGGTAATACCTAGTAGGACTTTAAAGGCCATAACCTTATAGGGCTTTAAAGGCCATAATCAACACCTTGAATTGGACTCAGAGGTAAACTGGTATCTAACACAGTTCACTCATCAAAGGTGTTAATTTCTTTGTGCCAGTTTATTTAACTTTGTGCCAATTTATTTGACTATGTATATAATAACTGTATACTGATCTTGTAGATTCTTGTACACCCTCAATAACTAGGAGGGATGCCTGCTATGTAAACAGGAAGAATGTTCTTGGGAGATTAGTTAATTTATCTATTTAGAGGCTGAATAACTAGAGAGGGAGACAGGATTAGAAGGCCACTGTGGATGACATGCATGTGTAAAATCCAACCTGACAATAAAAAACTAATGAGAATCTGAGGCTATTTCATAGAATGAAAAAGGAAACATCCTCCACACATTTTGAAGATGATCCTTAAAGTGCTCTGTTGCAGATATTGGGCATTTCAGGATCGTTTTGGAAGTAGGGATGCAAATGGATATAGCAGAAGGAGAAGGAGAGGAAGAAAAGAAGGAGAAGGAGGAGGAGGAGGAGGAGGATAAGTTTTTCATCCAATGTCATTAATAGATTTCTACTTGCATTTGGGGACTTTTTCATGTTCATTTCCCCAGTACAGGAGCTCCTTGCATCATCTCCAGGGCCTATTCCAGGGTATTTTTTAACATCCACATTGACTTTGAAGTATGCAGATGAGATATGCAAAGGGATGAAATGATTGAGGGAGTAGAAGTTATGGGGATTTGGGGGGGGGGAGAGTGACCATGGCATACTTGAATTCATCATAATGCTACCATAGGTAACTGAACAAAGTCAGACTAGTGTTTTAGACTTTAAGAAAGCTGACTTCAATAAGCTAAGAGGGGAGACTAGGAACAATTCCATGGACAGCTATCCTAAATGGAAAAACAGTTCAAGACACTTGGGAAACCTTGAAATATGAAATAATGAAGACCCAAGCAAAAACAATACCACGGAGAAAGAAAAAAGACACCAGACAAGACCAGCATGATTGCATAAAGAGGGACAAATTGAGGGATGAAAAGGTCAAATGTAAAAAATGGAAAGAGGGACATATAACTAACGGAATACCAAGAAGCAGCCCAAATCTGCAAGAAGGGAGTCATGAAAACCAAGGCCCAGAATGAACTAAAATTAGCAACCAATGCCAAAAATAATAAGAAAAGTTTCCTTCAGTATATAAGGAACAAGAAGAAAGTGAAGGAAAAGATAGGCCCACTAATGGGAATGGATGGCAAGAAGGTGACAGGCAACAGGGAGAAAGCAGATCCCATATCAATATGAGATAGACACTACCACCACTAAATGGATTCACAAACTGTCTAAGTGAACTTAGTGGGTGGTCCTCAATGGAACTACATTTAAACAGAGGGAAGTATGCAGTGAAGTACCCCAAGGTCCTGTCTTAGGCCCAGTACCCTTCAACATCTTCACAAATGGGGATAGAAGGGGAACTCATCAAATTTGCAGGCAACACCAAACTGGCGAATAGTTGATATTTTGGAAGATATGTTCAACATCCAAAAAGATCTTGACAGACTTGAGCATTGGGCCTTATCCAACAAGATAAGCAGTGAGAAAATTAAGATCCTGCACTTAGGCAGGAAAAACCAAATCTATAGGTATAAAATAGGTGGTATCTGGCTGAATAGTAGTAACTGTGAGAGGGATCTAGGTATATAAATGGACCACAATTTAAATATAAGCCAGCAGTGTGCTGTAGCTGCCAAAAACCCAATGCAGTCCTACACTGCAACCACACAGTGATAGTTTCAAGACAATGAGAAGTGATAGTATGGCTTTACACCATGCTGGTGAGACCATACTTGAAATACCGGTATTACATCCACTTTTGGTCACCACAAAAAAGATGTTGAGACACTGTAAAGTGTACAGAGAGAACCAACACAGACGATAAAGGATTTGGAAGCTAAATCATGTGGGACATACGTATATCTAGCCTATTGAAGAGAAGCATCGGAGGAACATGATAACTGGCTTTCAATATCTGAGAGACTGTCACAAAGAAGAAGGGATTGATTTATTTTTTAGAGCACCAAAGGGCAGGACAAGAAGTAAAGAGATCTTGTCAAAGAGAAATAAGGAGAGATGTTCTGACAGTAAGAAGAATTAATCAATGGAATAGCTTGCCTCCTGGGTTGTGGATGCTCCATCACTGGAGGTTTTCAAAAATAGACTGGACAACCATTTGGCTGGGATGGTATAAGACTTTTGCCTTGAGCAGAGGGTTGGACTAGAAGTCCCTTCCAATCCTATGATTCTATGAAATGGAAGAATTCATTTCCATTTGGTGAGAGACAGAATTAAAAAGAGCTCTTTGAATGAATAAATGTTATGATTTTCAGGGATTTTTGCCTCTAGAGCTTTATCATTTGATGATATGATCTCTCTATATGAAATATACTTTATATTTAACATCCTTTTCCTGATATGCTCAAGCATGTAACACTACAAATGAAGTCTCGATCTGGTAACAAGAGAGGTGAGCTACATTAGGAATTCATTCCCTTCTCTGTTTTCTAATATACTGCATATTGTTTACATATATTGTTTTTGCTTTGTTGTAAACTCGCTTATGTGTAACTATGTAAATATTGCTGAATAAGTAAATAGCAGACAGGAGTCAGGACAAGGATAGGGAAGAATGTAAATGGTGCACTGTCTTCTTCAAGTTTAGGTTGACTTGAGGAAGGAGAAAGGAATGCATCTAAAGTCATTGTGCCTTAGCATAAAGGAAATGTATTGCCCAAAAATCCAGCCCAGCTTGACATACTTTCAGAGAACGAAGACTGTTATGATGTCACAGATTAAAGTTATACTGAAAGTTGAAGGGAAACTTTACCTTCTTTTGAGTTGGTTTGCTTCCCTGAACAAACTAGTGGGTGAGGAAGAAAGATGAGTGGTGGGCCCCTGTTCTTATTTCCTTTTGAGGTTGAATTTCTGGTTTTCTTGTCTTTTGTGAGTGAGTTTTTTTCCCAGAAGAAGTCCATGGAAAGCCCATGAGATGGAAGAGAGCAATTGTTGAGCTGAGCTCAAACAGTGAGACTAAAGTCTTACCACCTTATTTGCATGGAGACCAAATAATTAACAGGTGGATGTCCTTCCTTATATTTTAGGCTTTTTGATTTGGATCCAGACCTTTTGCCCCTTTTCAAGTACAATTGCAAGAAGTTCTCTACTCCTCAAGAATGCCTCTCATCACCTGAGTTCCTGGAACACATTAGAAAGGTGAGGGTTTATTAAATAAATTATCCCAACTGGTAAAGTTTGTGTTAGCAGGTATACAGCTAGTGTAAAGGAGGATCGGATAATTGTAATGGTTATTTATAGTGGATCAGAATAAATTCATAACTCCAAACTGTAGAACCCAGGAGCATAAAATCTGGGTATTCTTGTCATCCATTTAGCTTCTCATTTTCTAAAAAAAGATGAGGATTTTAAACACGTGACATTGTGACAAATAAGTATTTCAATATAAATCTTTTTATCATGCCCATGGTGGCTTTATGAAGACATTTCACCTAATCCTCTGTAAACTATAATAACTTATTGAAGTTATTTATTTAAATAATTTATATGACTGCCCATATTACAGCATTAAACCCAAAGGTTATGACCTATAATGTTCAAGATAAACAATGTACAGTATCCCATTCATAAAACCACATCTACAGCAGAGCTTGCCTAACTTCCTAACCGAAGTTTGGGGCAAGAATCATGTCTTCAGAGTATTATGAAAGTCTTAGGGCTACCCAGATGTTCAGGGGATGCTGTTCCACGAGGCAGGCCTCTGGACAGAATACACAACTCCTGGGTTAAGCAAGATGACATTGTTTTTGGAAGAGAGCCAGAGGATGTCCATCCTGGTAGAACAGGCAAGTGAGCAGAAACCATAGGAAAAAGGCAGTAACCCTACTTGCCCTATGACATATGCATGGCTTTATAGATAAGTTGTATCTGAAAGTCTGGTGGGAGTTAGGACAACTCATGGAGCAGCTATGTAACATGGAGGCATTACTTAGTTGGCTTAGGGTGGAGTAGATGTACAATTGGGTATGACCAGCATACTGATGATACCACACCTTATGATGACAGATGGTCTTGCCTAGTGGCTTCATGTAGATATTAAAGAGGAATGGCACAAAGGTGCAGTCTAGAGGCAACCCACAAACAGGAGCCTCAGCTTCAATATTTCCTGCTCCAACACAAACTGGAATTGGCCTTGAAGAAAGGAGGAGAATCACTGTTACACAGTGCTTCCTACTCCCATTTCCTTGAGCCAGAAGGATATCATGATGGAAGATCAGCCTCCATGCACTTGCCTCTTTCACTCCCATTTCTCAGAGTGTTAGGCACCTGGAGCCTTTCCTCTTGGCCTGACTGCAAAAGTGGGCAGACTCTACCTAGAGAAGATGATCCTCCTGAAGGGAACTATTATCACTGCAGCCATTTTGGCCTTTTCCTTTTGAAACTGCCTACAAAGTGCTCTGATCAAGGTATTTCTTCATGGATACATAGGAAAAAACCTTGTCTTTTTTGTTTAGTTTTTGTTTTGAGAAAGAAAAAACACTCAAGAAGAATGGCAAGAAGGTAAAAGTATAATAAATTAATTTGATAGCATCTCTATGAGATAACTTATGGCTATCCATGAGTCAGAATTGCTTGTATAATAACTGGAATATGCGTGGATAACTTAAATATGAGCCAGCTGTGTGCTGTAACTGCCAAAAAAGCCGACGCAATTCTAGGTTGCATTAACAGAGGGATAGAATCAAGATTATGTGAAGTGTTAATACCACTTTATAATGCCTTGGTAAGACCACACTTGGAATATTGCATCCAATTTGGTCGCCGTGATAGAAGAAAGATGTTGAGACTCTAGAATAGTGCAGAGAAGAGCAACAATGATGATTAGGGGACTGGAGGCTAAAACATATGAAGAACGGCTTCAGGAATTGAGTATATCTAGTTTAATGAAACAAAGGACATGATAGCAATGTTCCAATTTCTAAGAGGCTGCCACAAAGAAGGGGGGGGGGCTGTCTATTTTCCAAAGCACCTGAAGGTAGGGTGAGAAGCAATGAATGGAAACTAATCAAGGAGAGAAACAATCTAGAACTGAGGAGAAATTTCCTGACAGTTAGAACAATTAATCAGTGGAATGTCTTGCCTTCAGAAATTGTGGGTGCTTCAACACTGGAAATTTATAAGAAGAGATTGGACACCCATTTGTGTAAAATGATATAGGGTTTCCTGCTTGAGCAGGGGGCTGGACTAGATGACCTCCAAGGTCTGTTATTCTGTTATTTTGCTGTTATTCTGGCATTCTGTTAAGATACCATCAGTGTATCTACATGTTTTTTTGAACATGTAGAGACAGACGGTATTTGTATGTTCTGTTAGTGATCTGTATGCAATTCAATTATTATTCCAATATAAAAACATTTTCTACATCTACAGATAGACTTGGTAATAATCTTTTGTCTAAGCCATATTGCATATTATCTGGCACTCCTAGTTTGTGAACCCTGAAGAGCTGGATAGGAATAGGTGTCTAGATTGTCTTCTGTCACATGTACTTTGGACTCCTGCTCATTCTGACTATTGTGAGGAATGGCCAGAAAAGTGACCATCTATTGTTCTGCTGTATTTTGGTCATTAAATTCTTGATTTGAATATTTTTTAAAAATCAAATCCCGGATGTTTTTTTTTTTTTTTTTTACATATCATGTAACCCACCAAGAATTGTGAAATGGTGACAGGATATAAATTCAACAAATACTATAATAAATAAATAATTGAAGGAGAAAGGAAATATCAGTAGGAAGGTCACAGATTTCTTTCAAATATGCTTTTGTCCCTGTGGTGCTGGTCTTTGCACAGTGGTGAATAGTAGCAGAAACCTTTGCTTGTAATGTTTGCAGAAGGCTTTTTAGAAAAGGACACAGTCATCCAAAATAGAATTGCAGATTTCTGTTTTTTTATTGTAGTATCTTTTCTCCTTGGTAGGTAATGCTGGTAATTGATGCAGCTGTAACTCATTTGGACAATTTGCACTGCCTGGAGGACTACCTCGCTAATCTTGGCAGGAAACACCAAGCAGTTGGGGTAAAGGTTGAGTCCTTTGAGGTAAGTACTTACAGCAGGTATGCTGTGCCTTGCTTGTTGCCGCAGCAAACTCGCTGCAGGACAACTCCCCAGGATCTACTTGCTGCAGATAATTCCACACGGGATAACCCAAAGTAATAAATATTATTCACCAGTGTTTCCATTGACAAAAATGGAAATAATGTTGAAGAAACAGTGGTAGGTAACATTCTGTTGAGTTATCCTGCATGAAATTTTCAATGGTGAGTTGACCAAGGGGAGATGGTTTGGTGAGTTGGCTGTGGCCAACTCATTGTCCCATTCCACATTACAGACAGTTCTCACTCAGTTAACATTCACTGAGCAAGTGTTTGAAGTTACAGCAGCGCTGGACAAATAGTAGTTACAACTAATCCTCAAAGTTATGTTCCGTTGCGACATCCATGGAATTATGTCATTAACTTTCAGATTCTTGGCAGCCCATCTGCATTTACAGCTACAACATGCACTTCAATTCCTCCTACCTACCTATTTTTCCCCCCAACACTATCCTTTTGGCTATCTTGCATGCTGCCATCTACCCCTGTCATCCCACGTTCACCCTCAACTGATCTTTGCCACCTCTTCCTCCTGCTGCTAATGAGGTGTGACTGGTTAAGGCTCTCAAGGACAAGGAGCTGCCTCAACCAGGTGGGAGGAAGAAGACCATAAAGATCAGTTGGGAGCAGTGAAGCTGGCAGGGGTAGGTGGAGTGCTGGGTGACTAAATGGGCAAGATGGGGAGGAGATAGGAAGGTGGGGGGAGTTGATGTGGAGACAAGTGTGCAGATCAGAAAAAGCATGAGATTCTTGCCTAAGGACAGTGCAGTTCTTGCCTAATGATCACAACTGGGATTATCAGAACTGCTGTTGCTAAGAGGGATGATATTTTGTTATTCTATTCTATTCTATTCTATTCTATTCTATTCTATTCTATTCTAATTCTTTATAAAATTCATATATCACTCATCTCACTGTTGAGCGACTCTAGTGGTTTACAACTTCATAAAACAGGAATATAAAACAATTAGAACTTTAAGACATTTAAACTATTAACAAAAAAACTAGCTAAGGAAGGAACCAATACATAAATGGGGTGTAGGTGGGATCTTCTATCCATAAGTTACAGCTAACAGATAAAATCTGGGAATGTGCCTTTTATTTCATATTTGGAGATAAAGAGTGGATTTGCTTTTCAATTATTGTTATGTTTGCAGTTGTAGTTTAATAAATACATCTCTGTTTAGGTGCTAAAAATTTTCAGGTTGTGCAGGGCAGTGGGATAACCGTCCTAATGTAGTTCCCCCTCAGAGGTGGGTTTCAGCAGGTTCTGACCAGTTCTGGAGAATCGGTAGCAGAAATTTTGAGTAGTTCGGAGAACCGGTAAATACCACCTCTGCCTGGCCCTGCTCCCATCTATTCTCTGCCTCCCGAGTTGCAGCTGATCGGGAGGAAATGGAGTTTTTATAGTATCCTTCCCCTGGAGTGGGGTGGGAATGGAGATTTTACAGTATCCTTCCCCTGGCACACCCACCAAGCCATTCCATGCCCACCAAGCCACGCCCACAGAACCGGTAGTAAACATTTATGAAACTCACACTGTTCCCCCTCTTCAAAATACAATCACTAATACATTTGGCAACAAAACTCAGTTTATTTGTATGAGTATAGTTAGTTAAGTTGTCTTTTATATTTATAGATTGGGCATTACTTTTCAGTGATGGGTAGCAACAAGAAAAGTCAAATTAGTAGCAGGTGGAAGGAAGGTGACATTTCTTTTTAAGAAATGTCACCATATTTCTGTGGTAGATCATCATCTCTTTCTAATATTAATAAATTATATTTGCCTTGAGAAGTCTGCTGTTTGAATACTAACTCTGTAATCTTCTTTATGATTTGTAGGCTGTAGGAGACTCCTTGCTCTATATGCTGGAGAAATGCCACGGTCCTGCCTTCAAGATGAATGTGCGTGAAGCCTGGATAAAGCTGTATAGCACTGTGGTCAAAGCCATGAGCTGCGGCTGGAATGTTCCCAGAAAGGTGGAATAATCTCTGATCAAGATGCTTGGAGCGCTTTGCTGTTCCGTGTCAGAAACAGCTTTGATGAAAGAGCATGCTCAGCTTTTTCAGCTTGATGTATTTCAGAGTAATCTCGACAGCTTTCTTTCTGTCTGTTGCTTACTTTTGCATTCCCTGTCTCTGTGTGTGGCAGTGTGCTCTAGAATTCAGCATAGCAGGTCCACGTGTAGTGAGTGGCGTGTAAAACATTTCATTCCAAACTGTTTTAAGTACCAAAATTCTCCTCACCCCGTGTGAAATAGGCTGTTTTGAGTAATTTGGAACTGATTCGAGCTCTAAACAGTTCTTTTGACCTTAAAAATATTTTCAGAATTCTCAAAACAACCAGATTTGTATTTTTTTTAAAAAAAGAACAGATTAACGTTCAAATTGGGAAATTTTGTGAAGATGAAATGATTCAAAATGAAATTTTGCATAACTCTAGACTGTTTGCAGGTAAGGAAAGTGAAGAAATCTGGAGTTCCAATTGTATGTTGATTGCAGTGGCTTTCTTGCCTTTAAGCACTTTTTTAATCAATCATTTTTTAAACAAGACAATGGACAAATAGAAAAAAAAGTATACAGTGTTATAGTAACAGTAACTGAACAGAGATGCAAACATTGTACAGTTAGTACTGAGTATAGCATTGATAAAAGGTTAGCCTTAAAAAGCAAAATACATTGTCATTTTTAATAAAAAAAAGGGTTTTAAAGATTTTTTAAATCTCTGAGCTGAATGCATGATTTTCAAAAGCTCTTTATTTTCTCTGTTTATAAAGATCAAATGTAAAGATTTTTTAAGCATACAAAGGCTAGCCAGGTTTTTTTTTTTTTTTTTTAGTAAAGAAAGGTTACAGAAATTCTTTCTGTAAATTGTGGGCATTTCTTTGGGATTATATAAGCAGTACAGTTCCCCTCCACCCCAAAAAAGTGGAATTCTTTCTATACATTAATAATTCTTCTATACACTATACAATGGGGCTGGAAAAAAGTTGGGCTTTTCAAATGCTTAGTCTCAAGTTACAATTTAAAAACCAGTAAGTACAGCCAGTTCCTTCTGTGCAAAAATAAAATCTTGAAGTGGAATTATAATTGATGCAAGTAAACGCTTAGGAGAATGTTTGGACTTTGTCCTGATTTCTAGCTGAAGAGATCCATCCCATAACATCAACTTTTGTCAATTGCTAGGTTCTCATATCTTCTCTTCTTCCCAAGGCACTGTCTTACAACTCTATGGGTGCCTACGGAAGGGAAGAGAAGACAAGAATGATCAACAGCCAGGTGGGTGGATTCAGTTACAGTAACAATGGAAGACCTGAACAATCAGAATAGGGACAGATCATCATGGAGAAAATCAGTCTATGTGGTGTTAAGAGTTGACAGTGTCTTGATGGCTCACAACCAAGCATGGGTACCTGATAAGACAACCTACCTTTCTGAGTTTTAATTAAAACTACCTTTCTAGTTCTTGATCTAGCCTAGTGCCTGCTTTGAAAGTAAGTATCAATTTCTTAATTTTTGGAGTAGGGAGGGAGCATTTAAAATAGTGCAGCATTCTTCCTTTTTTTCTGTTCTTTCTCCAGCGGTAAATTGACTCATAGAAAAAAAAATCCATGGAGGTCAACTCTGGGCTTACTATATAAAGAGGCAATGTGCTTTTCTTTACAGTAGGGGAAGAGCATTACATGACAATATTGGCTTGAGATCCTTTTACCAAACTTTTGAGCTAGGCATATAAACTTGGAAATATAGTTCTACACTGAATTATTCCACAAACACCATTGGAATCATTCTAGGATTAAGAAAGACCTGCTTCTCTTTTGCAGATCATGAAAAGATAACTCTTACAAAAGCTTCTTGCCAAACAAATTAGTTAGACTTTGAGAGGTGCTCAAAGTCTTTTGGTTCCTTTTGCTGGAAAACACTGATGCAACCATTCGTTTGGAAAGTATTAATAGAAATATTTTCAGCTAATGTAGAATTATATCTTGACATATTACTTAATATTTAAAACTATATAGTTTTGATGATAACACATGGCTAATTTTCTAAATAAAATAGAAACAGTTGTTTGCCTATTATCATGCTTTATCTTCATGCCTGAAATTTTGCCTATAAAAATCAGTTTACAGTCCCACCTTGGCATTTATTTAGTTATTGCAGTATCATTGTAAGACATATATATTCTTTTGTGTAACACACACATACACACACATACATTTCCCTCCAAACAGGCCAGGCCAAATTACTTTGAAGGATGTCAGAAATTATCAGAGGATGCCATGTATTCTAGAATGTAATGATGGTGTCAGAATCTTCAGTGGAGTCTATTTCATCTGTGAAGCGGTGGTGATATTTCTTTTGAAGACAAGGAATGTAGCATAACATTCATAATATTTGTGAGAACATGGATGCATAATACTGGAATGACAGGAAATGATATGCTTTTTATTGGTTTATTCATCTTCTTATTATTTTGTCAGCTTGTGATTCTGAGGTCCACAGATGCTCAGGAGTTGACATGTGTGGAATACACTTGTTTATGAAATGACAAACATTAACTGTATTTGAAAGCCCATTTGCTGCTTTAGCTGGTGTGTGTATTTCATTTCTGTGATAGAAGTGCTATTCATTTCCTGATGTACCATCCTATTTCTCCTCTACCCTAACTCTTCTTTTCTAATTATTTCCCCATAACTATTCATCTCATCATCTTGAATACTTCTGAGCAATCCCAGTGAACAAAGTCTCCTTTTATCTCCCTTATTTCAAGACACTCCAATGGGGGATTCCTGGAATATTGAATCACATTTTATTTGATAGTATGGGGAAACTGCAGGCACCAGCAGGAATGATCGGATAAGCTCTCTGGGGAGGAAAAATAGAATAATGAAGCAAAGTAACATAAAGGAGGAACATGCACCATATGCCTCCTGACTGATCAGATTTTGTATTGATATAATAAAATATCTGTCTAGGTTCTTCAAGTGGCTTCTCTCTTAATACAGATGTTGATGTTATTTTTGGATTGAAGTCTTAGACCAAATAGCAGATTTATGTTGGCTATTTGTCAGTGTGTCCCTCTAAAGCAGGGGTGTCAAACTCGATTTCATTGAGGGTCACATCAGGGTTGTGTTTGACCTGGGGGTGGGCATGCACGTGGCCAGAGTGGGCATGGGTGTGGCCAGCTTCATGTCACTCGTGTCAGGTGTGCCTGTGGCCCAAGTGCTCTGCCAACGAAAACAGGCTCATGAGCTCCATTTTCAGCTAGGATGGCCTCCTACAGCCCACTCCCAGCAAAAACCGAGCTCAGGGGGTGGGCTGCATGTGGCCCTCATAGCTCTGTTTTTGGCCGGGACAGCCTCCTGCAGCCCTCTGCCAGCAAAAATGGAACCCCCTCGAGCTCCGTTTTTGCTGGCAGAGGGCTGCAGGAGACCGTCCTGGCCAAAAACAGAGTTCTACTGAGCTCTGTTTTTGCTGGCAGAGGCACTGCGGGCTGGACTTTCGCTTGGGCATCCCTTGGGCCAGATTTGGCCTCTGAGCTTTGAGTTTGACACCCCTGCTCTAAAGGTAATAGAATTATAGATTTTTAGCATTGGGCTCATGTAACATATTTAGCACATCTACAGATCCAGTCTGATGGGATACAAAAGCTCAAAAACAGTCCCTTGGCCTGTATGATAACTACTCTGTTTTCTTTCTCTTCTCTAATAGTTTTCTTGTCTTCTGCTCTATTTTTTCTTCCCCTCAATCCATCATCATTATCCAGTAAACAGAGATATACCAGTATCTGAATATGACTGCAGATAGCTGTGGAATATGGCTACTAGCAATAGTACAAAATATGATCAGATTCTCTGTTGGCCATCAAAAAGTCTTATATTTTCCTTTTCCTAGCTGTGCATAAATATAGTTTTGTTTTAAAAAAGAGTTCCCCACTGAATCTTCACACAGTTCCTCAGGGCTTGATTCTTTCTTATGCCTATTCAATTAGTATCCCATCATATTAGATAATTGCAAACAAGTGTCTCATAATTATGATTGAATTTTATTCCCTTGAAGAAACAGAAGAAGAGAGAGACACATCTGGATCTGGAATGCACTGCTTCCAATTGAAGTGGCAGTGCAAATTATGGACTGCAAATATCACCCGAAATGCCAGAGCTATTTTATGCCTCTCCTAGTTGTTGACTGCTTTTTTTTGTTTGTTTGTCTGCCTGCAAGGACATACATGTACACCATATTTTGTTAAATTCTATAGAGATAAAAACCAACATTTGGGGAATATCAGTCCTCCACTGACTATTCTAGCTGTAAATTTAATCCACTAGGACAGGTTTCCCCAACCTCCGGTCCATGGATCTGCACCAGGCTGCGGCACGCCAGAAACTGGGTTGCTCAAACAAGCGAAGCCCCATCCGCGGGATGCAGGCAGAACACACAACTACGCCCCCTCTGGTCCGTGGAAAAACTTTCTCCACAGAAACAGTTCCTGGCACGCAAAAGGTTGGGGGCCACTGCACTAGGAATTTAGTACTGTGTCATCAGCACTTTACAAAAATGTTGTTTACTTTGTTCCTTGAATATGCCTGCTTTTTCCAATAGAGTTAGGTCCAAGCAGGGGTGAAATGGTACCAGTTCGGACCAGTTCGGCCAAACCGGTAATGATGGTGGCGAGTGGTTCAGAGAACCGGTAGCGATGATAGCGTGAGGCTCCGTCCACCCACCCGGTTGTTGTTACTTCCTGGTTTTAACCAGGAAGTAACCTGTTTTTTACCCTCTGCGTATGTGCAGAAGAGCTTGCGTATGTGTAGAGGGTCTGCGCATGGCGCATACACTTCCAAACCGGTAAGGAAGGTAAGTAGATTTAACCCCTGGGTCCAATTATATCTTCTCTCAGCCCATACAGAATGCTGCCATTCTTGCTTCTTTGATTGCTATCACAGAAGAGAAGGAAGATAAATCATGGCCACATAACTGGATTATTCTGTTTTCTGTTTTGGAATTATACGAAACCAACATGTATCCAGCTAGTAGTATCAATTTGGACTTCTATAATTTTTGCAGGGAAAGGCCATTTGTGCGCTTGAGTTCAATAACTTGCTTAATGAAGGAATTCAAATTCTAGCATCACTAGCTGTTCATCCACTGGTTGACTATTCCATAAAGACAGCCTACCCACTTTTTTGGGATAATTGTTTCTGTTACACAATTGCTCTTACTGTTAGCAAGGTTTTTTTTTTTCTTACCTTCAGGATACTTTTTTTTTTTACTTTCCTTTAACATTGTTCTGTGTCTTGCACTCTAGAACAATAGAAAATAGGTCTTCAACATCCGTTGCATGGCAACCTTTCAGATATATAAAGAGTACACCATACTCTTCCTCCTTAGTCTCTAGACTGGATATTCTTTATTCCTTCAATCTTTCCTCGTAGGGCTTGATTTCTAGTCTCCCAATCTTCCTTGCTACACTTCTTCCTTGCTACAAATTGAGCCTTACAATTAGTCTGAATCCTTTCCTAGAGTGTGATGCTTAGAAAATGACAAAATATTTAAACTGGATTCTGACCAATTGAAAAAAAAATTACATTTGTCTCTATTAAAAATTGCATGTTGTTATTTACAGCTGATTTCTCTTACTCAAGTGATTCTTTTGAGTTTTGTCTTCCAGAATATTAACTATTCCATCCAATTTTATCTAAACTGAAAGTATATAATTATAACTTGAAAAGCATTCCTTCGGTTTTTCAGGTATTCATTCAAAATTCAATTACTGCCATTCCACTGAATGCCAAAGACAGTCCCTAGAATCGCCATTCTATGTGCAAACTATATATTCTCCCACTAAATTATTACCTTTCTCCCAGAGTGTCACAAGTTTTGCAGTTCAAGTCAAGATGGAAGAATTGCAATAGCAGTTGAAGAAAAATAGCATCTATTTTTCTTCAGTTCTAGGATCTTCCCACCTCCAGAAGGGATACTTATTGGGCCGTGCTATATGTCTTATATTACTCTACATTCATCTCCATTTTGAATAAGCGATATGGATATTGACAGATGAAAGCTGAGGAGCATAAACCTTTTAAAATATTTCATGTATTTCCAGTTTGCAGACTGGTGCTTAACACTAAGGAACATAGGATTCTCCCTATGTTCAACTCTGATTTCAAAAGTATGTGCTACCATTGTTTCACACTTCTTCTGGGATGTGCTGTGTGTGGACATAGATGGACCTGGATTTGCTGAGGATTCAAAATCTGCCTTTTGAAACCCACATTTTAGGCTAATGCTTCCCTAAGGCAAAAGCAACAGGAACCACTAGTATCCCTCCACAGCGTTTGTCCGATCTAAATCTTTTCTGCGGTCTTATATTATAGCAACAATTTTGGCAAGAGCAAGCTGGCTTTCTGGGAACTCTGATTTCCATAGAAACAGGAGGAGGAATTTGCCAAGGCAGATGGTTGCCGGCAACAGCAGCAGCAGGTAGCCCTTCCTCATTGCCTGAGAGTCATTGGACTTCTAGGTGAGAGTAAGCTAATAGTACAGAACAGATGATTGCATATTATTATTTAAATTAGAGCAGTATTGGCCTGATCTGATGGTGAGAGATTTAAGAATATAGAGCAGGGACTTTTAGTGTCCCTATAAATGAAAGGCACTTCCCTATATTGTGTTCCTTCCCTTTTTGTCTATAATTGATTTGTGTGTGAATGCTGTGCTAAATGGATGCTGGATCTGACCTCATAAGATGCTGTTAATGTTCTCTACTGCTTACCTCAAGAGTTTAAACAAACCATGTTCGTTATGTAACAACTTTGTTATGTGAAATTGCCACTACGTACCAATTTTAATAAAAGCTATACTCAGCGGTGGAGTTAAGGTTCGTGGAGTAATTGCATTTATTGTTTGATTAATTGTGACCTTGTGTCAACCGTCCAACTCAGTCATTTAGCAAAGAAAGACTCCTGGCCATTTGTTTTGCCAAGAGAATACTGAAGCTTAAATGGTTACAGAAGTAGGGAAAGCTGAACCTGAGGTTTTTCCCCTGTAAGCTACACAAAGGAAAGTTCCTTCTCCCCTGCCCCCCAGGCCATCCCCCTCCGCCCCCGATTATCTGCAAATATCCATCAGATGCTTCTATATTGTTCAGGAAACAGGTGCTTGGTTCCTAGCTCTGCATTTCGTTACTTGATCTTGGCTGGCTGGAGCTTCTCACATGGCTCAGCTGCAGTAGTGGGATTCAAAAATTTTTACTACCGGTTCTGTGGGCATGGCTTGGTGGGGGTGGCTTGGTGGGCATGGCAGGGGAAGGATACTGTAAAATCTCCATTCCCTCCTCACTCTAGGGGAAGGTTACTGCAAAATCCCGATTTCCTCCTGATCAGCTGGGACTTTGCTAGAGAATAGATAGGGGCGGGACCAGTCAGAGATGTATTTACCGGTTCTCCGAACTACTCAAAATTTCTGCTACAGGTTCTCCAGAACTGGTCAGAACCTGCTGAATACCACCTCTGCTCAGCTGGGCTTCCATCCCCCACTTTCCTTACATTCTAATCTTTCCCTCTCTTCCCCCATGCTAATGTCAGGCTGTCAGCTCATGAAGCTTGGATAGGTGAGATGCAGCCATGACATATGGAAAATTGACATTGCAATAAAAGAAATTATTCAGCATTAAGGTGGTTTCAAATTGCAAATTGGTTCAAAGATGAACCAGTTGTCAAGCATCTTGTTTGTAAATCATGTGATCATGGGGATGCTGCAACAGTCATAAGTGTGAAAATGGTCATAAGCAGGGCCGGATTTTCCTATAGGCTAACTAGGCTTCAGCCTAGGGCCTCAAGATCAAGAGGGGCCTACATTCAAATTGTTAGCAAAATTAAAATTACACTTTCACTGTAAGTGAAAGGGCCTCATAAGTGGAATAGCCTAGGGCCTCTTTTCATCTAAATCCGGCCCTGGTCATAAGTCATTTTTTTCAGTGCCATTGTAACTTTGGTCACTAAATGAACTGTTGTAAGTCAAGGACTACCTGTACTTGGTTAGCCATATAGATAGTGATTGCCAGCGAATTAAAGCCCCTTATTTGCCCTGAGTCTTAAGATATAGGCTACTTTGATTGGATTACAGAAATTGCAAAACCTTCACATCCTTCATGGTTCATATTTGACAATATGAGTCACAACAGATTCAAGCAAGCAAAGGATTGTTTTAATGGCGATTCCGGTTTTATAATACAGCAATTTAAATATTCAGAAGAGCATTTTACTAAATTGAGAAGATTGTCTAATATCCATCAGGCTTTATCCCAGACCTTTGTTGCAAAGGTAAGAACTTCTAAACGGGAATACACTTTTGCAGGCACGTCTCCGAGATACCATCCGAAGTAGAGAACTCTTTGAATTATGCTTGAGCTTCTCCCAGGCATTATGCATAGTTGATGAGAGAGTTTGATGCATTAATTATGCTTGTTTTCATGGGTCCACAAGGGTTTATTGTCTGATTTTTTCCCATTTGTTTTGGTAGAATTACTGTACCGCAGGCTTGTGAATAGCTCACCTCATTTTTTTACAGCCTTTTGTTTCTTTCTTTAGAGATCTCCCTTCTAGTGTAATTGGATTCTGATTGTTCCTTTGTTAGCTAATTGGGTGTTATAATCACTACATTATTAGGTTAGCATAAATTGTACTTAATAATTTAAGCTTCACAAAGTTTAAAGGATCTAAGGAGTCTTAAAATCAAAACAATATAGATTAATGATGTTGCTACTTCCATCCCTTCTCCAGCTGGGCTGACTTCTAGGAAGCATTTGGGATCTCCAGCTTTTGGCTTTTCAGAGAAAGTAAATTAAATTGTCCACTTCCCTCGGAAGTGTGACAGAATACCTTTTCCAATAGGGAATGTCTCGGCTCTTATTGGAGTCAAGCAAGTTTAGAATTTATATATACAATATGTGCAGTGGTGAAATCTAAATTTTTTTACTACTGGTTCTGTGATGTGGCATGGTGGGTGTGGTGTGGCTTGGTGGGCAGGGCTTCGTGGGCATGGCAGGGGAAAGGATACTGCAAAATCTCCAATCCCACCCCACTCTGGGGCTAGCCAGAGGTGGTATTTGCCGGTTTTCTGAACTACTCAAAATTTCTGCTACCGGTTCTCCGAATTGCTCAAAATTTCCGCTACCGGTTCTCCAGAACCTGTCAGAACCTGCTGGATTTCATCCCTGAGTATGTGTTTACCCAAGGTTCCATATTGCTTGGGGAATTCAAATAAGATTTAAAGCAGTAGATATTTGACCTCAATCTCATAAAAGTTAATGGGAGTGGCAATATATTCCTATTGCTTATTTCAATTATTTAGTGGTGTTAGAATAGCACTGTATGGGAGAATTGTGTAAGATTGCTAGGGTGGGGTTACAGCTGCATGCAAGAATTGAAAGATGCTGCAAGAGTTACTCTACCCTTTCCTCCCTTTGTACAATTTCTCTGTGCAATCTTCCTCCTACCTCTGCTTTCTGAGAATACAGAACTTCCTAATTCCTAACCCTTTGTCTTATTTATCAGAACCATTTCAGGAAATTTCAGACTCTCTTGGCAGCCCTGAAATTTTAATAAAGCTGTTCATTATAGAAGTATTTCTAGCTTGATTCATTAATTGAATGAGGAAAAATGGTTATATAAAGGCTTTTTCCTCTTTAGCATGCATATGAGAAAGGAGATTGCTCCCTTTACAATGAAGTTTAAGTGGGAAAGGATGGGGCTGAAATAAGGTCATCAAAGTTGGTGCTAGAAATTTAGTGTGAAATCAATAAATGAGAGATGTTTATGATCAGATACCATGGGTTCATGATAGGCTGAAAGATACTATTCAATTTTTTGTATGATGGGTATCGTACCTGACCCAACTTTGACCTATTCTAGCCATCTGATTTTGCAGCTCATTTAGCTTGGCACTCTACATGGTGCCTGTCAAATTATACACAGGAAGGTTAATAGAAAGTGAGAAAGAAAGGGGATAGAATGTAATAGCTTGATAGACATCAACATTGGCTAGAACTCAGCAACAGTTCAACATCTACAATATCTACACTGCAATATTTTGGTGATTCCCTCCCACCCAGGTTCTGTTGGTTATGTAAAACCTTTTAACATAGCCAGTTACTATAGAGAACTGATGTAGATTGTTCTACTACTGCTTTTATATGTTTTCTACCACAGTTCATTTATGGATTACTGTGATTTTCAATAATTTCCTTTGAATCAGATGTTTGATTTTTAAAGAGTCAACTAATCAGAACTATTGGAGCTCTTATACTTGATACATTGATGTTTCAGTATCCTACTGAATAAAACAAAACAAGATTCTCCAAAGAAAAGAGTTTCAGAAGGGTTTCTGTTCATGTATTACTCTGTGTTAAAATGTACTGCTCAACCCATATTAAAAGGTGTAGTTCAAGGGCCATAGGTGAAGTAACTTAAGGCACAGTCATAGCAGTAAATATAAACAGCATTCAGAACTCTTGCTATATTCCAATGGAAGTCGGTCCAGGAAATGACAAGAGATCTCTTTCCTGAAGACTTTTTTTTTTAATCCTCAGACATTTGTGAAATAAGAGCAGCTAAGAAAGGAGATGACTGGACATTTGCTACTTTAGCATGTGAACAGGCAAAGTTCATTTCATGGGAAATGAAAGTGACCATGCTGGAAGGCCTCTCTGGAAGTAGGAGGAAATGGCACAGTAGTGGATCAAAGAAAAGCAGGGCCTGTGTGTGGATGGATTCCTTAGATACATTGGATCACTTTATGCTACTTTTAACCTGTCATGGTCAAATAGAAGCACAAACAACTTTCTTCTCCATCCTGGAAAATGTCATTATGAAAGTACTATCTTAGTTTGCAGACCTGATAAGTTCTCTAGTGCATCTCTACAAGGGAGTGAAGGCTAATATTTCTATATGTGGAAAATGTAGAAACCAAACAAGGGCAGCAACATAGGCATACCTACTCAATGGCTCTACACATAAGAACTGTTTGGTGCAGGGAGTCTTACTTTAGAACTCAGTTTTAGGCCATTCACCCATGTAGATTTTTAGGCTACCACAAAGAAGTCAAGCTATTTTCCAAAGCACTTGAGGGTAGAACAAATAGCAATGGGTGGAAACTAATCAAGGACAGAAGCAATTTAGAACTAAAGAGAAATTTCCTGACAGAACAATTAATCAGTGGAACAACTTGCCTTTAGAAGTTGTGAATGCTCCAACACTGGAAATTTTTAAGAGATTGGATAACCATGTCTGAAGTGCTGAAGTAAGCAAGCGGTTGGACTAAAAGACCTCCAAGATCCCTTCCAAATCTCTTCTATTCTATTCTATTCTATTCTATTCTATTCTATTCTATTCTATTCTATTCTATTCTAATTCTATTCTGTTCTTGTTCCTGTTCCTGTTCCTGTTCCTGTTCCCGTTCCCATTTCCATTCTATTCTACCTTTAACAATATCTATTGGGAAGTCCTGGGGCATAATAATGTTAGGCCTATTAAAAAATCCCAGCATAAGGAAGATTAATGTATACTGACAGTTGTATGCTGTCTGCTAAGGCAATCTGGAATACTGTAGAATTACAGTATTAGTGGTTCCTGAAACACTTAATTTGATGGTCTTGCTTGTAATGCCCTCAGTGAATAGGGCAAACTAATCAGCATGACATATTTCCTTACTGTGCTGTGTGAAATCGTACCAAAGTAAGAGAATTCATCTCCATGTGTTCCCTGCTCTGTCTTAAAAGTCTGTTGCCCCCACCCCAGCTTGCCATTAGAAATCTTTCTTCTTCTTTTGCTTCAAGACACATTTTGAACTCCTTAATGGTCTGGATATTTTAAAAACATACAGCTACATCTGCCGCTTCTAAAAATGGACAATGATGTCTCCGTTTCCTTGCATGTCTAAATGAGAGATATGGGATTATTCACGGTCCTTCTACAATGAGATCAAATTTCTATGCACTCACTTGATATAAGAGATTGCTGCATAGATTGTTAACTTGGAGGGTTCAGAAGCAGCAGGTTGAAGTCGTGTCTTCTGCTTCTTTGAGGTTTAGTCCAGTACGCTTGAGGGTCCCCAAAGGAGGAGATTGAAAATGGGAGCAGTTTTTAGTCCCGGTCTTTATGACTAGTTTATAGTTCAGTGAGCCCTCCAAATGCAGAACATTGGTAAAATTCAGCAAGCCAATAAGAGACATGAACATTGCATACATAAAGATTGAGATTCAGACTTGGGAGTTGATGGATACTCTACAAAATACACACATCTGTATTTTTTTATTGTAGCTTTCCCCCACTGAATTATATTCCAAATACAAATGGGCTGAACTCCCAGCTAGTGTGTTACAATGCCAAGTCAAGGAAGGCTGATTTTAATATACTTGCGCCCAAGTTATGTAGGGCATATGTAGGTAAAATTTAAGTAACACGTCCTTACGATAGAAGATCTACAGTAAGTCTGCCAATTCCTTGCAAATAAGATTTCTTAGTTTATGAGAAGCAGTCTTCTTCCTCTCAGGCTAACAGTAATTATGGTATTATGCCTACCATATTTAAATGGGAAAAAGGGCCGAAAGGGAAAAATCTTCCTTCTTTAAATCCTCGGTTCTCCTCAGGTACAATTTCCCCCCACTCTAAATGTAGCATAACTATAAGTGAAAATACACTTATCATACAATTTAATATAACACCCAATGGTGTTTTTTTAAAATGAGGTTTATCTCAAGTTAAATGTGTAGAGTAGGGACAACTAATGTGTGCCTTTGGATGGTGCTGAATTCCATTTCCTAATGAGTCTAAACCAGGGATCAGCAACCCGCGGCTCTGGAGCCGCATGTGGCTCTTTCATCCCTCTGCTGCGGCTCCGTTACTGGTCGGCTCCACAATTGATAGGGCTTTTGGTTAGGACAGGTAGAGGAAAAAGGATGCCGCGCTAGGAGGAGGCTTTATGGTGGTGGAACCAGACTTCTAGTCAGCAGAGGAAAAAAGACGCCACGCTAGGAGGCGGCTATGCTGGGGGAACCGGACTTCCAGTTGGCTCCAGAATTGAACGGGGGCTTCCAGTTAGGACCTTTGTGGCTCTTTGAGTGTTTAAGGTTGCCGACCCCTGGTCTAGACAGCATGACCAATTTGGAAAAATTATAACCATCATGGACCAGTAGCCTCTGAAGTGTCAAAAGTTACAGGCAATTCTGAAGTGTAGGATCGTACCATAATGGAATCAATCATTGATGATTCTCAACAGCAATTCTCTGTGCTTTCAAGAATATTCTTGTTTAAGAATATTTTTAGGTGAAAGTTTAATTTATAAGGTTTATGTTTAGGATGCTTTTTTCCCTCCCTGCCCTAAACCAGCCTTGGTTTATGCAAATCAGGCATTCTTATGAATGCTTGAATTGATCCAGCCTCAGTAGAGCAACTAGACATAGTGGAGATCCATGATCCAAAAACTATGTCTTCTATTTGTTACTGTATAATTCCTGTTTCCTTAAAGGTAAAGAAAGCCATGAGTTATGAAATCCTTCCAAACACGGTAATGTTAAATGATCCTGGAAATTCTGCTCCGTTGCACTGATATTTACTGAGACAAAGAATATCCTTGGTGAAGCTCAGGAGAAAGGAACATTTTGGTTTGTGGTTAATTGCTGTTCTCTACACTAACCAGCCACCTTTTAGTCCAGTGTTAGCACATTACATTTTTCTGCTAATGTTTTACACATGTGGAGGCAGTAGGAACATTACGTGGCAGATATTATGTCCTTGTTCTGATTTTTTTTTCTTTCTGAACTTCTACTGAGCTCACCAGTCTCTTTTTCTCGGTGATAATATTTCTTCAGTTTTTGAATTCTGCTATCTCAGAAATGGCTGAAGAACATAAAAGTCCAGGTGGCTCTTCCATTGGAGAGAAATGCACTTGTCTGCTTATTCCAACTGGAGATGTCATCCTGACCTGAGGACTGCTTTCTATTAAACTTGAAAGAGAAATCCACATTTAGTCAAATTTCTGTTTTCTGTCTTTTTGTTTCATTTACTATTGTAGAACAGGAAAACATTTATCAGGGAAAACCTGTTCAGCAGAGCAGTTTAGAACTATGCAGTGTGTTTTCTCCATTTATAACATCCATTAAGTTAGGAACATTTCACTTGCTTATTACTTACAGGATTGATAATTATTCAAAGCATAAGAATCCTGTGTAAAAAAAGAGGGTGGTGATTTTCTGCAAATCACCTATGAACTCTCCCTCTTACTTATTCTTTAATAGCGTTACTCATCTCTCAGAAATTTGCAGACTGCTCCATTGTAGGTCTTACAACAAAGTTCAAGAGGAAAGTGTGCAATGCATTAGACCCAGGAACTAGAAGATGCTGTGAGAAACAGTTGCCTAATGCAGTTTGAAGGACCTGTGTGTCTCCAGCTTCCAGTGTCCTTCACCTTCGATGATACGTTCTGGGATTACAGTACATTTCTGCTGGAGGAAAGGTACACAAATTCCTGACCACGATCTAGCTGGTTAATGTTTGGATGCAGTTTAACTAGAAGAAGAGTTGTATTATAGCGGTGGCTTTGAAACAAAACTGAATCATTCCCATGCACATGTCTACACAGAAAGCCATTCTGAAAAGCATATGTGTTATTTGGTTGTCTTCTTTGGGACTTTCCAAATTTAGGCATGTGACATCATGCCAGCTGGTGACTGGCAACCTCAAACATGCTGGTGCAAAAAGGACAATGTGTAATTAAAGGACAGAGATTTCACCTCTGCCTGCTATTTCACTCCAGTGTCTACTATCAACTTAATGTCATCCTAGATGTGATTAGGAAACAGTTGTGTTTAAATTTGGTTCTTCTTCAATCGTACAAATAAATCCCCTATTAAAGAAAAAGTATGTGGTTGACATAAGCTAAACCTTTCACCTTTCCTTAAATTGTCTGATAATCTTTTCCTATCCCTGGTTTATAGGAAACTGGGCCAGATTTTTATATACATAGCTCTATCTCTTCTCCCATATTGAAATCTGTTGTCGAACTAGGCATGGGGAAGTTTCCACCTCATCTGATCCAAAATAATGCAAAATTGGAACATAGCATTCATCTGCTTGCCAAGCCAGCAACTAGCCAAATGCAGGCCTAGAAAAACAAAGACAAGTTAGGCTCGTCACTTCAACCGAATTAGCACGGGAAGTCTTTCTTAGAGGCAATGGATTTGGACAAAAGCAGTAACTGCAGCAGAAGCATTATCAGGAAATATAGGCTGTTGGTTCTGCAGCTGGCAATATATGGAGACTTGCAGTAATTGTGAATGTATATCCAAGGATGCACAACATTCCATATGTCTTTACCCCTTTCACTAATGGTTTATAGAAAGGACCACAGGTATTATGGACATTGCGCTGATCAAATCAAAATAGTCCTTTCTTTCTTTTTGCTGCCGTGAGAAAATTGCTCAAGCTAGAGAAATATTTTCATATGGCCAAAATATTTCTTTTTAAAAAGCAAAATACTGGGGAGAGGGGGGAAGAGAATATGGAACAACTGAGAATTCAGATTATTTACCCAGAAGATACAGAAAGAGCCAAGCAATGGCAGTCTGTCAACCTGGAGCAGAACAGAGGTAACATATAGAACATGCTGCCAAGCAGCTGGTGTATAGGATAGAAAGAACACTATCTCTTCAGAACATCTCAATAGATGTGCTCAACATCTCAATGTTTTATATCCATCTTTCTAACAGCATGACCAGAGATGTCAGGACTTAAGGCCCATCATCCATCTGCCTGACTGGTTCTGGTCCAAATTCAGATCTTTTCCCCAAACTATCTGATATAGCAGCTCGGGAGAATTAAGATTTTGGGTTATGATGCTTCTTTCCAGCATTCTGAAGATTCAACACTTCTGTCCATCTGTCTTTGGTTTGGCAGGACAAAATCAATGATAGTGACTTTGGGTGTCCAGCAAGGGTCTGGTTCTATATTTGCCTTCTGTGTTTTCCAGTTCTGCTTCAAAACTTGGCAGGCCACCTTCCTCTATATTCTCTGCTTGGTCCAGGTGGCTGCCCATTGTGCCATAAGACTGATGAGCTGGGGAAGCTGCTGGCGTAAGACTTAATTCTGGCTCTTGAAGCACAGTGGCCACAAACATCTGTAATGCAAAAGCAAGATAGTTAAATTCTGGGGCTTTTGGCTTTCAACTCTTTGGCTAACAAGGTAGATCACTCTTTTAATATAGACTCCCCCCCCTCCTTTCCACATTTGGCAATTGTATGGCAGCAATTATTGTTTGTGGCTTGTGAAGCATCTCTGGAATGTTAAAAACTTCTGGGGCACATACCTTGACAGGAATCTGTATAAGTGCAACTTAATAAATGCAACTCTCTGGAATCTGTTTAATTGCAATTGTCATAGGTGTGTATGACAAATTATGAATGTACTTACATTTGAATTGGGTGTGGAAGAGATGCTACTTGTTTCTGTATCATTGAAAGCTCCATCAGATTGCTCTGACATCTGTTTGCAGATGGAGAAGAATGTAAGTTGGATGTAGGATAAAAAAGCAAGAATGTTTGTTCTGTTTGGAAGTCCCTCCCCAAATATAAACAATCTTAGAATTAAAATTGAGAGTGCTTAAATAATAAAATACAGTCCCAGAATGCTAGATTAATCCAATGTTTTTCTATTTATATAGCAAAATATTTCCAGCTGATTTGTCCAATTCCTGTTTTTCCCTCCTATTTTCAGTGGCTCCTGCCTTGCACTTCTATGGATTCACTGGAGGCATGGACAAACCACAAAAAGAAACCAAAATAAGGAAGCAAACCATAGTCCCTTTCCTCATCATACCAACGATTAAAAATGAGTAAATCAATAAATTGAAGATTACTGTCTAAAGCAAGCTATGATTTATTCATTTGTTTTATTTGCACACTACCCTAAGCAACAAATGAAGAAATAGTGAATTTAGCCAACAGAAAGTAAATTGTATAGGAACATTTGTGAAGTAATTTATAGTAATTATCGGCTACCATCAGCATGTAACTAGAGGGAGGTAGCCCAAAATAGCATAGTAACTAAGTGCTGTACTGGAGTGAGTGAGTAAAATAGGGTTGAACTTCAGTTATTTTCACTCAAATAGTAAAAAATTTTGCACAAAGGCAACTTATCGGGAGAATTGTTTAAACAGAAAACATTAAAAAATTATTAAATAAACATCCTTTTGTGGAGGGCCATCTAAAATCTGTTAAACATCTGATGAAAGCCACAATTATTACTATATGGAATATAATTATAATGTCACTCGGGTGGTTGTTTTTACTTTTATACATATAAGAGGATATTTACTACTGATGGGGGCGGATATGATTGAAGATTTTGAATAAACTGTTGCATCAGCAAGCTATGTTACCCTATTATGGATGATGGTCCTAACAATCCAGTGGAAAGACTTTCAAGAAGATATTACATGGACTATAAATTTAAAGTCATTGTTTTTTCCTTTTTATTTAGATATAATGGAATATATATACATATATTTTTAAGTAGCGTGGGCAGTGAATCAAAGATATTAAGAATTGTTGTGTAAGGTAATTTTTGCAGGACAGTGGGTGAATAAGCTAGGTTGCAGATTGATTAGTTTAAGAAAAAGGATTTTTAAGTGATATATTTAGGGGAGTGGAGGAAATGGATAGAGTGGAATAAATGTTAAATTAGATTTTATGGGGAAGGCCGCTTTGAAATGTTATAGTAATACATACAGAAGATTAAATGTTAAAGTAGGATTTATTGTATAGTTTTAAAGCGGAAGGTGGTTTTGATTTGATTTGTTGTAATAATATATAGATATAAGTTTGGGAGAAGAAAAAAAAGGGCAGATTATTGCCAAATTGGGAGTTATAATACTATTATGCTAAATTAGAAGTTATTTTACAATGTTATAGTATAATGTCTTTTTTTTTTCTTTCTTTCTTGAAATGTATGGATAAAGGGGGATGTTATAATATTAATAATATTTTTAGTAAGTAAAGGTCAGTATTTAGAGGAGGGAGTAAGTAATCTGTTATGAATTAGGTTTTTTGTTACGAAGAAGTCACAGGGGGGATGGGTGGGGAGGGGGGGTTAGGGAGGGGGAGGGGAAAAAAAAGGGGGAAAAATTTGTATTTGAAAACTTTTTCAATAAAAAAAATAAAAAATAAAATCTGTTAAACACTCCAATAACTGCTTTCCTACAACATATCATGATGGAACATCTATTAGCAATAGCAAGAGCATTTAGATTTATATACAGCTTCACAGTAAGCGGTTTACAAAATCAGCCCATTGCCCCCAACAATTTGGGTCCTTATTTTACCCACCTCGGAAGGATGGAAGGCTGAGTCAACCATGAGCCTGGTGAGATTTGAATTGCCAAATTGCAGGCAGTCAGCAGTCAACAGAAGTAGCTTGCAGTACTGCATTCTAACCACTGCGCCACCTCGGCTCATACTTAGCCAGAAAATGCAGGATAATTTCTGAAACCGATGGCAACATTTTCTTCTGAGACGCTGCTGCTTTAGCATTAATTTAGCGTCCCCTTACATGAGCCAGTCCAGATGTGTTCAGACTACCAGATGTCCAGTCACTATGGCTGTTGGCGAGGAACTTGGAAAATTGTTCCAACTTTTCTATTGAAATACTATAGGATGGATGCTACTACACTAGAATGCTGATCGAACTTAAGGAGCATCACCTTTAACAATAAGTTATAAATGCAGCCATTTCACAATCCCTGTGAGCAGAGCATGATAATCTTAGATTTGTGTTCTTTTGAAAACTCCTCCTTTGGACAAAAAATTGCATGTCAGGTGTAGGCAATTTCTGAAGGTTTGGATGACCAGAGTAGACCATATGTTGTCACTAGAAGGAACAGGAATAATTTTTTGGGCCCTTTGGTGGTGGGGATGTGAAACGGAATAGGATAGAATAATAATAGAGTTGGAAGGGACTCAGGAGGCCTTCTAGTCCAATTATTTGGGTCCTTAAGAATTTCTGCCCCAGAGCAATCATTTGAAAAACAGTTTAAAATTGCTCATTTTCCCATTGAATTTGGCCAGCACATCTCAGGTGTTGGGGACTATGCGTGATCCATGGGTCATCCACTCAGTATAAACTAGCACATAGTATATATATTGCATTAATCCATAATTTGATTTATTTTATTTTGGATTAGTATGTTATAGGAGTTCAGCTACTTGTGGTTTAATCAAATAACCATGGTTAATGTATGAACTCACAGATTCAAATTTCTATTAATTCATGACACTTATTAGTTTTAATGATCAATTGCCTCACAAAAATAGTTGTGAGGAAGAAATGGGACTGGATGATCATTGACATGTTGTTTTCTAAACCTCTGATAAAGCAGATAAACAGAGTGAAAGAAGAAAGTGCATTAACTTTTTTGGGGGAAAGTATCTATTTTAGGAATACTACACTGACTTGAAATTTAAAAAGAAAGGAAAACTTGTGTATGATTCAATCTATGCTTTATGCAGTATGACAAAAATAATGTACAGAAAACTAAAGCTAAAAAGGAATGATAGAAGGTAAACAATAACTCTCCCACAGAAACAGTAATGCCTATCGACTTATACATATAGATAAGTCTGATACTTTATATTACACTTTTTATAATTAGCTGGAACTCCATTAAGTTTCTGAAATGTTTGGGAACCACGAAGATACAAGAAAAACACATAATTGTTTGAACTTTGACTATTTTATTGAGTAGATCAAAAATGGTTTCTTAGAACGGAAACAGTGGGAGTTCTGGACTGGTAGGCGCTTTTCTGTCTTTAAAGATTTTTATCATCAATGTGTTATTTGGCATACTCAGTGCATACATTTGTTAATACTGGATTTCTAACTTTTTAGGAATAGATGGAACATTCATCCCAGAACTGCATTATATGAAAACGGAGGGGAAAAAGCAGGAGGAGAATAGTTATAAAATAATAGTTAGCTATGTGGTATTACATCCAGAAATTAAAATTAGAACCATGTCTTCCTGCTTTGACTCTCTAGTGGCAACTTGTCACAATGATAAGAAGCAGCCTAAAAGATCCAATGTCGTGTCAGCTGATTTTCCACTTGCACAATAAAAGTTTCCTTTGTTTTTTTTCCTTCTTTCATGTCTCACTAAATTGGCTCCAGAGATTCTCTCAAGGTCTGGAATAGATTTGGGGACTGTGGTGGTAAAGAAAGACTGATCCATGAAGGTGTCCCATGGGATACAAGCCAAGAAATGAGTGCACTGTTACCTGATAGCTGGAAGGTTTCCTTGGATGAAACTTCTTCAGGCACAGACCAAAGAAGGAAAAGGGAATGCAGGATAGAAGCACCACACAGGTGAAAATGGTAATGGGACGAACAGAACCTATAGCAGTGGGGAAGAGAGAAACAGATTGGCACAATGCACCCATTCTCACTGCCGCCTCTGCCTACAGTTCATGGTAGACTTGCAGCTGGGAGCCTTTTGTGTTAGGATGAAAGCTCATCCCATCTGCAAAAGGGCTCTCTACATACTACTGATTACTGCTTCTAAAACTAAACTTCAAGGAATGATTGTTACCTCCCTATTCTGTACAAATCTGCCCAGTAACAAATTCATGTACCACTTTAAATATGGCATTCATATGCCCATGTACGACTACTATACCATTTAAGAACTAGTGCTTCCTTCTGCACCACAGGACCATTTTAGCTGCTCACTAAAATGAGCTGCAAATGGACAGATCAGTTGTATTCCCATTTTCCCCAATTCCTAATAAACTATTTGAAATGCAGACTTGCAGACCTCACTTAAAAAGGTGCCTTTGTATGCTGTGGACTTACTAGGAATTTCTATATCTAAACATTTAGCGGTAGTCCTGATTTAGCAACCACAATTGGGAAATGGCAATTCAGTCATTAAACAAAGTGGTCGCTAGTGAAACTACAATTTTGCTAAAGATCCACCTTGGCTTTCCTTTGCTTTTCAGACCTGCAATGGTTGTAAATGTTGGATTGGTTATAAAGTTACTTTTTCATCACTGTTGTAATTGCAAATGGTCTCTAAATGAGGCAGTCATTAAAGAAGGACTGCCGGTATATTAGAAATAAAGTAGTGGAAATATGAGCCTGTATGCTTCTGAGAATCTTGACTTTTTCCCAATATTTTTTTTTTTAATTAGATTTATATGCCACCCTTCTCCGGAGACTCAGGGCGGCTTACAATGCGTTAAGCAATAGCCTTTATCCTTTTGTATATTTTATACAAAGTCAGCTTATTGCCCCCACAATCTGGGTCCTCAATTTACCTACCTTAGAAAGGATGGAAGGCTGAGTCAACCTTGAGCCTGGGGAGATTCGAACATGCAATAATTGCAGACAGCTGAATGTTAATAACAGGCTTTTAGTCTGTTGAGCTATCCAGGCTCCCCTTGGCTTCCCTTCTACATCTTCTGCATGAATGCTAAATTTCATTGCTATGAGCCGTCAGCCCAACCCAAGTCAACAGGATGCTTAGTTTTGGACCATCTTGGATGCTGCTGACTGTGCTCTCCTTTTTGTGCTTCAAAGAGTTGCTTTTGGTCCAGGATTATGCTAGTCACTCTGGCTCTTTAAAAGTCAAAATTGTATGTTAACAGTCTTAATGAGAACCAGGGAGTGTCATGTCTGAGATGATTACTTAAATTACATTTCTGGCCCAGGCTCAGATTTCTTTTATCTGGCCACTGACTTGCTGTGGCTCTTTCTCCTCTTCCTCAAGGTTATTCCTAGTGCCCATTACAGCATGCCACGAAGAACACAAGAAATGAACAATGCAACTCTGCTCCATATTATACACATGAATTTCCCTTTAACTAATCTAATTCTATCTAATTCTCAATTGCCTTAATTCATTTTGGGATCAGTTGTACTACGTATGTGGAGTTCCTGTAATAGTAGAACATCTTTTTCACCACCAAGTCCACAGAGACTAATCAGTTTTTGGCATATGCATAAGGATGTATCTGGCATGAACTCCTTACATTTTCAATGTGTGTGAAATGATAGCTGGTGAATTTGCCACCTTAGTGCTAAACCATTCATATAGAAAAACTGAAGAGTTTCCACTCTCAGAAGTACAATAAACTCTGGATTCAGAGTCTCAAGAAGTCCAAGAGCTTAGCTGTAATAGTCCTGCTTAAATAACAGAAGAAACCCATGGCTCTTTCCCATCTTGCTTTTCTCGAGCTGAATTGACTCCAATTCTCCAAACCAGCTTCGCTAGAATTGCAATCCCATAAACTGGAGGGTACAAGACTGGAGACAATTGGTGTAGGCTAACTAACCCAAGTATAGATCAATGAAGGCTCAATGAAACCTCACTTGCCTAGACGTAGAATGGAGAAGAAGAGCAGCCAAAACATGCAGAGAATGGGCGCTGTCACCACCTGGTTTACTGCTGCCAAATGGATGCGGTGGTTCAGCCTGGTCGGGATGTAGACGTAGTAAATATTGTAGCGGTCAACCATGTGCTTCAGTAGCATGTACAGCAAACCTGTGTGAAAAGAGATGGAAGAATTGGAGCATGGAGAATGCCCACTCGAAGGAGACAGCAGTAGCTGGGAGGATGACAAGGATATCAGCCCAGATATTTTTTACAGGAAAAAAAAAAGGCTGGGAGGGACCATAGTTCAGCAGTAGTACAACCTCTGCTTGCATGCAAAAGATTTATTCATTAGTGACATTTGAAAGATTATCAAGGAATTGTGCTGGAAAAAAAATCTTGAGTAAAGGACTCCAACAGCTGTATTATACCCTACCAACACAACAACATCCTCATCTTGTATTTATGTTCTGTAGCTCTTCTCTTGCATAAGAATTCATTCCCCGGGGTCAATTATATCATTAATCAGGGACAACCTAGAGAATATGATAAATTTGTGGTTTCATGTTTGTACTTTTATTTATTTTCTATTAGGGCTTTTGTTTTAGGAGGAAGGATTTACCTGTTTCTTACTATACCACTTTCTTGGCAAAAATATCAATCCTTTCCCCTCCATGCCCATAAAAACTATTATAGAAATAGCTACTGTTTTTCGTAGCAAATAGCAATTCTGGAGTAGGATAGGCTAGCAGAAAAATGGCAGAGAGAAAGGGTAGACGAAAAATCCCCGTTCCTATCATATCTCCTGTGGCTTAAAAAAGAAGGCGTAAAAGGTATAAATGTCAGCAGACTGAAATTCAGCAATGTGTTTGTTAATAACATATTTTAAAATTATTGCAATGTATTGAAATCCCACTTTTTGCCCCCAAAAATTCTTATTTGGAGAAAATACTGCTACTCAGCTATCATTTCTATATTCTTTTGTATATCATTTCACAAGGCTACTGTCTATTAGAAACGAACAGAATAAAAGCAGTACATTTCACTGCTTTTCCATTTTATAGGCCAACAGGTCTCTACATCAATAGCTATTTGATTCCATTTACAGAAATCCATTAAGAGATATCATCCCAAAGGCTGACAAGAGCCATGGCTTGTATTTGTTTGTTTTATTGGGGTTTGTTTTATTGCCTTAAATTGCAATCAGCCAGGGTCCAGACCTAGAAAGATGTTATTGGCAACAGCAGGAATTTTGGAGAAATTGTGTATCTACTTACCAAAGGGGACAATAATGGGGCAGGTGATACTATATGTCATCACCACAGCAAATATGCAGCAAGTCCAGGCATACTCCAGTCCAAACTGGAACTCATAGGCTTGATTCTGGGGGGAAAACACAGTAGCACACTTTACCTTTAATTTTATTATGTGTGAAGATAAATGGTGATGGGATGGGAGAACAGTCTCACAGGTCCTGGAGTCTATGACCATTCACTGTGGCCAATTCGCCATGGCCAAATTACCATGGCCAACTTACCGCAGCCAACTCGCCGCAGGACAGCTTGCCACGGCCAACTTCAAGGTTGACTCAGCCTTCCATCCTTTCGAGGTAGTAAAATGAGGACCCGGTTTGTGGGGGCAATAAGCTGACTTTGTATAAAAAAGAACACTGGGGGGGGGGCGCGCAAAAGCCCTACTAAGCAGATATATACAAAAGTATGAAGGCTATTGCTTAATGCATTGTAAGCCGCGCTGATCTCCGGAAAAGGGCAGCACATAAATCGAACCAATAAATAAATAAATAAATAAATAAATAAATAAATAAATAAATAAATAAATAAATAAATAAATAAATAAATTAAATAAATAAATATAAATAAAGAATTGGCCGTGGGAAAATTCGCCGCAGGACAAGAGTTACACTAATATCAAAGAAATGGTGGAATGGAAGCATAAAGAGAGGATGAAAAAGGAAGGACAGAATGAAATGTGGATGACAAAAATTAAAATATTTTTTATTTATTTTAAATAATTAAATTGAAATTGTCAAATTGTCCTGCGGCGAGTTGGCCTGTGCCAAGTTAGCAGTGGTGAGATATCCTGGAGCAAGTTAGCCGTGGCGAGTTGGCTGCAGCGAGCTGTCCCACGCCCACTATTACCCTTTATCACCCCCATCCAATCCCTGCGTGTTGTATCCTCCCCCTCACACCCGTAAGTGCTGCTAACAGTAGTTTGTTTTCTTTATGCAGAGTTTACCATTTTTTCAGGTGACAACTCTCTCACAATTTAAAAAATATATTTGGTTTTTAGTAATTTCACAAGATTTTAATAATTTAACTAAACATTTTAAATTATTTAATTTTAGGGCATCCAGACATACTATCTAGGATAGAGGGAGGGATTTGTGGATATTGATGGGCACATATTACCAACTCTTGATAACAACTCTGTTACTAAACCATTTTAAAATCATGGCTCTTAGTGATTTACAATGAAAAACAATTAAATCTAACTTTTTCACTGAGCAAACTATGACTCCATGCCTTCCCTAAGCCAAACTTGCTTGAAAAGTAGTTCTGTAAATTGTATCATTATGTCATTGCTACACTCACACCCAAAACTAAAGTAGGATGTTTCTGTTCATGGTTTGTGACACCATGCTACAAAGATTGAGTTGCAATAATACTAATCCATGATGGGAGAGGTCAGATACATCTTGTTAAGACATAAACAATGCACTAATGGCTTAGCTTTATGTTTGAATGAGAGGGGGATTTTACTGGGCTAAAGAAAACAAGTCATGACTAAACACTGTCTGTTTTCAAACATTTCATGAGGTTCTTGCTCCACAAAAACTCTCATTGTCTCACTAGGGTCTGCAACTTTAAATACTCAAAGAGCCATTTGGACCTGTTTCCCCCAGAAAAGAAAACACCGGGAGCCACAAAACCTGGGTGGGCATGGCCAACTCAATGTCACTCACTTCCACCAGTCACATGACTCCCTAGCCATGCCTACCCCGCCAGTCATTAGGGCAGAGAACCAGTTGTTAAAAAATACTGGGAACCACAAAATCCTTTTGACACATCTCTCTCTCTCCCCCCCCCCCTCTCTCTCCTCCTCTCTCTGTATCTCTCTGTCTCTGCCCTGGCCGCTTCTCCATCCCCTGCCGTCGCCCTTACCGTCTCAGACCAGGCGAAGAGTGACTGGGAGGGGAGGGCCAGCCAGCGGTGGGATCACCTGACAGGGAGCTACAGCAGAGGACCAAAGAGCCGCATACAGCTTCGGAGCCGCATGTTGCTGACCCCTGCACTAGGGGAAATCTCCTAGAGATTTATAGCACCACTTTAAGAGTATTGCTGGATATAATGTATTCCAGGGGTCTCCAACCTTGGCAACTTGAAGACTTGTGGACTTCAACTCCCAGAATTCCACAGCCAGCAAAACTGGCTGGGAGTTGAAGTCCACAAGTCTTCAAGTTGCCAAGGTTGGAGACCCCTGATCTATTCGTACACAATCCTAGTCATGCAGGAGGTTATGTAGCCTTCTAATCCTACAAGCAAGGTTTCAAATGTCCAAAATGAAAACCCAACAGACCCGCTTGATGTGGAGCCGCTCAGGTTCAGATTTGGCAAAGCAGAGCCGAGTGGCATAGACAATGAGCCCAGGGATTCGCAACAGTTCCATGGCTGTCCCAATCAGGCTGGAAGTGACAACGTAGTTGACAAAGAAAGCTCCATTATCAGGGAGAAAAACACACCTGCATTAAAAAAAAAGAATCCAGGAAAGTGTGCATGAGAGAGAGAGAGAGAGCATAATATAACAGAAGTATATCCCGAGAAAGGCCATATGCAGCCTTCATGTGTTATGTGCAAACAAGACACAATCATCCCACAAATTAAAATTGGTGATCCATCTGGCAACACACTCAAAATGTTCAGTAATACTTACTGAAATTTTATCCCTGCTTGATCCACAAAGTTAGTGTCAAATAGCCAGCGAAAGAAGAGATCCAAACTGGGAAGAAGAAACAGAGAAGAACGAAAGAGATAATAAGCTTGTTACTTTTTTTTTTTAAAACAAACACCGATACCTGAAACCTGCTGGTTCAATAAAAATGGGGCATATTTCAGTGTATGAAGCTTGAGGATGGGAACAATTTCTTCAGAGAGGTACAACCAAGCTAATTTAACCCTTTTCGATTGGCAAGAGCAGACATGACGTTGTAGACAAATGGAAAGTAGCAATGAATATTTCGGTGCAGGAAGATGTAGTTCTTACAAATTTGAAAGAACAGGTGGGACAACTGGGGGATGAGTGAGTTTGTGTGAAGGTAGCAAGCAGCCTCTCTTCTCATTGTAATGTCATCTCTAACATAGCACACATACTCCCTCTGAATATAATGGAATCAGGTTCCAAAGACTGAAGACACGGATCAGGAAATTATGATTGTGTTGTGGTGATGATATCAACTTGGCAGCAGATCAGCTACTCTACATGGAATAGCTTAGAGTAGGTGAAATATTTATGTGGGACCTTGTTCATAGCCTTTGAGAAGCTGGTGATTTTTTTTTAATTTTTAGGAAAGCATTTAGTGCATCATTTTAGCTGCTTAATTTAATAATCTATTACTTGCTGGCACATTATTGTTTATGTTACGATTCCCATTTTTAAAAGTGCTTGTGTTCCTTTCCCCCCAAAGATTGGTTGAGCACAATTATTGTACAGCATTTTTAATATAGGCCATGACTGTAATGCCAGCAGTCAGACATACATTTAAACATTTTGGGAGAAGAGCCATGATATCCAAAAATCAGAGGGAATCTGACAGTGCTTTTTCAGACTACAAATTTTATTAAAAGGCATAAGCTTTCATGATATTGAACAGAGGTTACAAGTTAAAATAATATCAATGGCTAATTTGGAAACTTGAACAAACCCATCGAATAATACTATATGATGAATGAAACTGCAGGATGGACAATTAGCCCAGAGAGAAACCCACATCTTTTGTAGGCAAACATGACTGCTACAGTTTTATTTCCAGTAAGCCCATTTTCTGATATCACACTCCATTATAGTATAAGTAATGTGTCCATAACAAGAAATAAACCCTTGTCTGAAAGTATCCATTAAACTACTGCTCAGCTAATTTAATCTGATGATTGCGCGGCTCAGCTGGGCATGGGGGAGGCAGGAATTTTTGCTACCGGTTCTCCGAACCACCCGCCACCATCGCTACCGGATCAGGCGATCCGGTCTGAACCGGGAGCATTTTACCCTTGTATGGGCAGTATATCAAAGAGGAGAGGGGATGATTATCAGAAGGAGGGCTTGCATCCAGGACCAACTAACACATAACACTTACCACCACATCCAGCTTTGTGCTTAAAAAAACCACAATTCCGTTGAATTATCATGAGCTATTCATAATGAAAACCAGCTCGATATGGAGCACTTGAAATTTTGCTTTTTACCTGGTCAGTCCAAGTGAAGGCAAGATGATAACCATAAATACCAGAAAGAAATAACACTTGTGCATTGTGATCTGATTTTCACTTGACCTAAAGGAAACAAAAATGCATTTATTTGGGAGATGGAGAGAGAGCAGCAATGAAAAGAAACTTCAAAAATCCTTGAGGAGAGGATTTAAAATGTTACATGATCAAGAAAATGTTCCAAAATGTTTTTGGTACAAAATTGTCACTAATATGCATTATTAACCCGCGTGCCTGTATTCCTTTGCAGAGTTAATTTTGGTTAAACAATTTTGTTTTGCTTACTTTTTGTTTTAGAACAGGGGTGTCAAACTCAAGGCCCACAGGCCGGATCCAGCCCACAGGGTGCTTAGATCTGGCCCACGAGACCACCCTGGAAACAGCGAAGGACCGGAAAGTGGTACCTCTGCCAGTGAAAATGGGCTCCCAATCTCCATTTTCAGCTGGTATAGCCCCCTGCAACCCTCTGACAGTGAAAATAGAGCTCGGGAGGGCTGGACGCGGGTTTACAGGAGGCCATCCCAGCTGAAAATGGAGATTGGGAGCCTGTTTTTGCTGGCAGAGCACTTGGGCCACTATAGGCGCCCCTGACACAAGTGACGTCAAGCTGGCCACACCCACCCCGGCTTCAAACACAATCCTGATGTGGCCCTCAATGAAATCGAGTTTGACACCCCTGTTCTAGAAGGAGGGCACAGTTCCCAGAAAGGAAGACTCAATCACAGAAATAAAATAGATGCCTCAATGCTGAGTAAGAAAGAGTTTATCCAGAATGTTTCCAAATATATGTAAATGCAATGGAAAGATGACAAAAATTAAATCAAAGCAATAAATACCTGGATCCTCTATGTCCCCTGAATATTTATCAGTTTTTTTATTTATTGCCATGGCAAGATAGATTCCCAGACAAACTCTGAAAATGTAGCAATGTGATAAAGGAAACTGGAATTACCTTGTCCAATGTGACTCAAAGAAAGATGAGTAGTACACAATGAAAGGCAGAAACACGGAAAAAGCCCACAGCAGCAGAGTGGGGAAGAACTGAGTCACAATAGGATTCTGGAAGGTGAGAGAAAAAGAGGACAAGTCGAGTGTTTTTCAAAAACAGAAACTTTTTCTCCATATAACCTCCAAGAAAGTTTTAAGACATGTTCTTTCTTTTGCTTGGTAGCTCACCCTGGGCTTCTTTTCTTCCTCTGTTTTTGGTTTGGGGATTACAACTAACGTGGTTTGATTTATTGGAATATTTTGAAGTGGAAAATGTTCTGATGAAATTAAACTACTTGTCACAGACCCTAACAAACCTAAAGAAAAATGTCAGCTTGTACAACATTTTATTTACACTGGAAAATTTTCTGATCAGTAACATCTGTCTTCATGTTATTTGCTATGGGTTACATGAAAAAAAATTTATATTCTGAATAAATAAAGTTGCCTAACAGTACAGTGGTACCTTGGTACTCATCATTAATTGGTTTTAGGAGGTGTGATGAGTACCAAAAACGATGAGTACCAAATAATTTTTTCCCCATAAGGAATAATGTAATGAGCCAAAAGGTAACCAACACTGACAAGTTCCAGCTTGTGTGCTGAGTATCAGACAAACAATGAGTACCAGGATAAAATTTTTGCATTCAAATGTGTTAAACACCAAATTCGTTGAGTTTCAAAGCAGTTGAGTACCAAGGTATCACTGTATTTGTAATTGATATCCATTTCTTATTAAAAAACTTTCAAAATAAGGTTTCTTTAAAAAACAACTAACTAAATTCCATTGTTTCTACTTTAAAACATGACCAGACCCAATTTTATGACTATTTTTACCACAGTCATTAAGCAAATCCAGCTTCCCCAATTAACTTTGCTTGTCGGAAGCCAGCAGGGAAGGTCATAAATCATGATCACATGACTGCAAGATATGGCAACCGTTATAAATATATGCAGGTTGTCATGTGCCTAAATTACATGGGGAGGATGCTGTAATGATCATAAGTGTGAGGAACAGTAATGCATCCCTGATTTTAGCATTGTCGTAATTTTGAACAAATGGTCGTAAATCAAGGACTACCTACAATGCAATAAAGGCAAATTCAGGGGGAAAGGATGAGAATTAGATTCATGCTGAATGGCTTCAGTCACAGCTCTTTCTCTTTCTTTCTACACAGGAGAAGATCACATATACCATTCCAACAGTAAATTCATTATTAAGTCATTCTGCTACTCCAAACTAAAGTTATAGCCTGCATTGAAGAGGCAGCATCAAGCAGCGAGTTTCTAAATTGGGATGAATAGTCTTTCCTGCTCTTTGGCGCTCATCTGCTCAGAAGGAAACTTATGGTGAGCCTCTGTGTACACACATATGTCCTCTGCACAATACTACACATACCAGGGATGGGTTCTAAAATTTTTTACTACCAGTTCTGTGGGTGTGGCTTATTTTGTGGCCATAGCTTGATGATCATGTGACAATCATTTAGGATTTAGCAGAGGTACTGGTCTACCAGGCTTTTAACTGCTTGCAGAGCTGTACCGATCTACCCATTTATTTTTGCAGGCACTGATCTACTCATGTATTTTTGCAGGCAGTGGTCTACCCATTTGTTTTCTTTTAACAGTGATCAGCTGTAGGGCGGCCTTTTGAAGCCCCGCGGCAAGAGTTTAAACAGTTTTTTCCCCTCTAGCCATCAGCTGGGGCTCAGGAGGCAGCAATAGATTGAGGTCAGGCCAAATAAAAGGTAAGGGGGGGATGGGGGGTGGGTGGGTGGGCACGGGGGGACAGAACTGGTTCGGTGATGTCATATCGTCATCGCTACTGGCTTGGGAGAACCGGGCTGAACCGGGAGGAACCCACCACTGACACATACCCCTGCAAGGCATAATTGGGGGAGAGAGAGAAAGCAAAATTTCCTCCTTTGTAGCAGTCTTGAACAGAGCTGTAGTGAGGGACAAGTCACGAGATCTTTCTTCATCCTAGCCACCCCATTTGTAGATTGCCAGTTTTCTGCTCTAAACTGTGTGTGTGTGTGTGTGTGGAGGGGGCGGGGGAGGCAGAATTCTAGAAAGTAATCAGGAAGAAAAGGGAAGCTATGGAACTTTCTCCTTCCTTCTACTGAACCTAGTGGTAATTGCCATTTTCCTATTCCTACAAGCAGCACAGATTAGTGGCAACACTAATTTGTTCCTCACCTGTGAACTGATCAGGATGTTCAGCTGATCCTGGGAGAAGGAGAAGCTATTCTATAGACTACATGTTTTGTACCTAAAGGTTCCTTTGTTCCCATTTGGAGATTAGATTATTTCCAATTTTATACATTTTTGACCTCCTGCAATGCCTTATTGTCTTGTATGCTGCTGGTGACCTCTCGGACAGAGTTGTCCACCCAGGCAGAATTTCATTATTAAAAAAATAATTGCTAGAGCAATTATCACTGTCTATCTAACAGGTAGGCAAGTACAATGATATGGAGTGTGGAATGAGAATAAGCATGGAATAAGAAGACCCAAAGGACTGGGAGTGAGATGTTATCCTGCCTGCAATAAGGCTTCAGGATCAGTAAGGAACTACAGCTCTGCTATGCACCTTGAGGCTCTCCACAGGCCGTGTAACGTTGAACATGTCCATGGTGTTCACGATGATGGCTGGAGTAGTGAGGAAGAAGAGGAGGATGAAAAGGCAGATGTTGAGCAGGATAAATTTCACCCACCACAAAGCACCACCAATGGATAAATTCTCCCTGTGAGAAAGAAAGTAGAGGTTGTAGGTTGTGTACAGCTAAGGCAAGGAAACATTGACCAATATCAATATGTTAGGGCTTGACTCAAGATAAAGGTTCCACCATATGTCCTTTTGGGACTTGTACCTAGATCACAACATACATTTAAAAAGTACAAATTGTGCATTTGAAAATTTATAATCTTTCACAACAAATTGGGACTAGATACTGAATTAAGTACTTATTGGTTCTCTTTTTAAACTAGTCTGAGGGCAAAATTTGTTTATGTAATTCCTTTACTGTGCATTGCCCACCAGTGGACAATTTGTAGACTTTAACAATATAAGAAAATAACAATCAAAGCCAGATGAACATCCACACACAAAAAAATTATGACCATTATAATACTGCCTAAAATCTAAAATTGTAATTGCTGTATTACTAACTCCTGTACCAAACACTGTATTCACCAATATTTACAACTAGTACAGAAGATTTGTTCAATATTTCTTTTGTACTTGGTGCCACTCCTAGGCATGCTTTCAACAACGTATTTCTCCTGAAATATGCTAGACTATTTTATAACAATCACACATTCTCCGTGGCTAATAAAGAAACATATAGCACTCATAATGGGAGAACTTAACATTTCAATGTTTTTTTTACAAATTTTTAAACTACAGAAATCCAAGCTGGGGGGAAGAACAAAGAGAATTTACCAGATGATGTCATTGGGCGCAGGGGCATAGCTGACACTCCACCAATGGGATTTCACCACTGTAGTAACAGATGACTGTTGTGGGTGCTTGCGGCAGCGGATGCGGCTGTAATCCTTCAAAATACTAGGAAACCAAGGAAGAATCAAGAGCTGGAATTAACTAGTCAGGTTCCTCTTGTATTGGAATAAGAAAAAAATCATGTTGATTGCCTTATCCAGCCCAACAGTTTTATTTATGTGGTTAGCTACCAAATCTTGGAATGGGGATACCCATTCCAAAGAAAGTGTTTTTGTCTTGAATATGTAATAACTGGCAGTGTGGAGGAAGAAAACTCCAAAGAAATGTAACTTGTATACAAGACTGTCCAATGCTATATGTGGATTATAAAACATTATTGATGGGAAGAAACAGATGGTGGATATTAAAATAAGAACCAGCAGAATAAAAAAAAAACATAAAGCACCCTCTTGTCAACAAATCTTAAGAGCAGGGATGGCCACCTAATTATAAGGCCCCTTTCCCACTGCAGCTAGTGTTCAGAATTGATTTGATGCCATACCTGGCAGCCTTTAAGTGAAGGAGAAATAGGAGAGGGAAAAGGAAGGACCATCTGAAAAAGAGCAGCCTGCAATATTTTTTTGCTGGGAGAATGAGGCCTTTCATAGCAATTGAATTATCTACTTCTGTCTTTGGAAATGATTTTTAAACAGGGTCGGCCCTACCACTGGAAAAAACAAAGCAACAATTAAACAGAATAGGCTGGAGAGCAGTAGTGTTAATTTGAGTTACCTCTCAGTAATACAGCTATTTCTTTCCTTTCAAGGAGAGAACTGTGTGTGTCACAAAGTTTTCAGTGGAACCCTTGAATCAGTGCTTTTCAAATCTGGTAACTTTAAGATGCCAGCTGGGAATTCTGGCAGTTGAAGTCCTAAAGTTGTCAAATTTGAAAAAAACAACCTTCTCTAAATTATCCTTCGGTCTCAACTGTGGCAGAGGCCTATTGCTAATTTTGAAGTACTGTAAGGATCCCACTCTCATCCATTGGCTTCTTAGCCTCAGATAACAAAGATTTGTAGTAAGAAGACTCACGTGGCTGTCATTCTTTCATCCTGGAATGTGACGAAGGCCATGTCAAGGCGCTTGAGAGCAATCCGGCTGCGTTCAGCATTAAACTCATCTGTCAGTTTCTCCTCTAGCTCCCCATAGTACTGCTCAGCATCCACCTAGTCAAAAAGAAATAAATTTACTTCTTTTTTGTCATTGATTTTAAAATGTTAGCTAGAATAAATGCTAGATGGGGTCAACCAACTTCCTATATTCTCCCAGAGGCAGCTTTCATTGGTTGTTTCTCCAAATAATATATTGGGAAACTTAGAAAAGTCTGAAACTTAAGGCCACTTTTAAGTATCTGAACTGATTAGACCTTTTTCTCTTTTTCTCTTTTTGCTTTTTATTGTTTTTTCCCCTTATCAGGATATTTAAATAATTCCCTTTATATATTTGCTAAACAGATGAATAGTACTGGCATTCAGGTCGCCATCTTTGTCATCAGTCATTCCTTTTGGCTAACTCTCCAGATACGTTTACTGTTATGGGGATTAAAAGGCAGGGGAGAGCCTTTTCTCTGTAACTATCTCCAGAAAACCTGACCCATCATGGTTTCTTTTCAGTCTGAAAAGTGACGTGTATGATCCCTTGATAATGTTCTCAGGAGACAATCACTGAGCAACTCCCAGAATTGAAGTCCCCTCTATTGTCAGATTTTCTATTTGTATGAACATGGCCCAGGTTGAGAAACGCTAATGTAGGTGATGAGAATGTGGCATGGCTACAATCTTCATTTTTAAAACAAGAACAAAAATTCATTCAGAGCTTAACTGACCCCAGCTACCCACTAAAACAGGGGTCTCCAGCCTTGACAACTTTTGAAATCCACAAGTCCACAAGTCTTAAAGTTGCCAAGGTTGGAGATCCCTGCACTAAAAAGAATGCTCTCAAAGTCCAAAGTTGAAATCTTATCTTTGGTATGAGCTCAGCCTAGGTGACTGGGATGGCAGAACTGGGCATTCAGCTTTCTTTTTGAGCTGGGCTATTATTTCTTTTATGGTCAATATGTGATATTGAAGGAAGCTGTCTCTTGCCCAGGCCAATGACTGACAGCATATACATAGCAACGGGAGGGAACATGAGACCCAAAGTTCCCAGTGCAGATTTTTTACAATCAGTTCATATCTTCATATTCTTTGTACCTCTTCAAAACCACAAATACGGCAGCAGAAAATTCGAGCACAAGGATGGATTTTGATCATAATCTTCCCTTCCTTTTGAGCCTTGGTTGTGAAGTAAAGCCTCCCTTTCATTGCCTTGCGCCTGGAAGGTATAAAATTAGGGGGGTGGGGAGGGGAAATGTTAATGCAGCCATCCATTTCTTTACAACACCTTTACGACACTTTTCCAAATCTCATATTTCATGTTCTTACAAATGAAAATTTCTGGCACTTTTGATTTGGAATGAATGGCAATAGCAATAGCACTTAGACTTTATATAAGGCTTCATAGTGTTTACAGCCCTCTCTAAGCGGTTTACAGAGTCAGCATATTGCCCCCAACAATCTGGGTCCTCATTTTACCGACCTCAGAAGGATGGAAGGCTGAGTCAACCTTGAGCCAGCGAGACTCGAACTGCCACACTGCTGGCAGCTGGTGATCAGCAGAAGTAGCCTACAGTATTGCATTTTAACCACTGCACCACCGTGGCGCTTGAAACTGTAAGAATATTTTCTAGGAACAATGGTGAAGACCATAATAGACCAAAACAAGTTGAATGAGGCTTCCATTATTCCTAGGTTGGATCTCATGAGTCCTCTCTTTTGCTGATGTGTAATTATACTAAAAATAATGTTTGGAGATATCATTCAGAAAATGGTGTATTTGATGAGGGCATGAAAGCCAATGAATAATGTCAACTGGTAGGAAGGGCCCCTTTGATTAGAGCACCCCAATTTGATTGACTTTAAAAGACAAGTAAGATAAATTCATGGACCCTCTCATTGGTTGTTGGTTTTGATGGTATTATTGGAAGATACTCTTGTTCTCAGTTTAGATGGCTGCCATTTGATAGGCATATGATTAGCCACTGCGAGAGCCAAATGCTGGGGCAAGCAAATTTTGATCTGATTTATTGTGTTTATTATGTGTTTAAATTAAAGAAGTTGCTTCTTTCCTTCTTTTGTCATACAGGGACAATATATGCCTATTGAATATTTGAGCCATAGTTGCATTCCTTTCCTAATATTGTAAAAGACCTCAGCTAGTCCCTTGGTGCTCAGGGTATATGTAAGCAAGACAGATAAATTATTTGGGGCAGGGGAAAGTTTCAACCCAAAAACACTTATAGAATTCAATATTTTCACATTCCAATAAGAAAATAGTACGTTATTTAATTATCCATTGGATTTTATATTTTCCCGAGTATTGAAAAACCTTTCACAGCATTAAAACATGTAGTTATAAATGCATTTCAAAATATAACAACATTTAATTACATATGAAATTGTCACATTTTGTTACTTCAGAAATGTTATATTACATGAGAAATAAGGGGAAGTGTACATTTCTGATTTATTTTAGTGGAGATTTTTATATTTAATTTGGATTCACCTCATTTTCTACTACTAACTGATATTAATATTGAAAAAACTTTAAAAGCCTATAGGAAATTAGGAATAGCTTTTTGTACTACAACCTTCCTTTCATGGCAGCAGCTTCAAAATTGGAAACTGCCTTTATTCACAGAACAAAAGACTGACTGGGCCCTGAAAAGGGCTTCGACTTGGTTTTGAAACAAATGTCTCATATTATGACATTCTCTCCCTGTTCCAGAATTCAGGTTTGATGCCAAGGTTTTTAATTTTCCAAAATGAGCTTGACACATCTTTTCACTGACCAGTACTTCTGATTGCTTCTGTAGCCCTGTTTTCAGAAAACTATAAAAGATTTATGGCTTTAACTGCATTACCAGATATATTATCATTTTTTTTGTTCCTTTAAATCTCTGCAATTTCCTTGGCAAAATTTTTCAGAAACAGTTTGCCATTTCCTAGTTCCTCAGGTTGACAGCCGAAGTCTTGCCCAAAGTCAACCAATCTGACTTTGTGCCTAAGGCAAGACTAGCTCCTCACTCTCTGTTTTTAGCTTGGTGCCTTCAACCACTACACCAAGCTGATTCTTTTTATGAAATTGGTATTCTTTAACTATGAAGTATTCAATCTAGTGAAGTGTAACCTGAAATGCAAGGTTCTTTTAAAAGAACAATAAAATAAACTGAACCAATATATTAAATACACATTTTGATAAGGTTTTTCAAAATAGCAGATTAATATAGAAACTGAAGTGAATTACATGCAGTGGTGGGATTCAACCAGTTCGCACCACTTCGGGAGAACCGGTTGTTAACTTTCTGAGAAGTTTGGTGAACTGGTTGTTGGAAGAAATCATTAGGGCAGAGAACTGGTTGTTAAATTAAATTAAATTAAATTAAAAGAGCCTTGGTAGTACAGGGGTTTAAGGCACCCTGTTATTAAGCTTATTAAGACCAGCTGCCTGCAATTACTGCAGGGTTCGAATCTCGCCAAGGCTCAAGGTTGACTCAGCCTTCCATCCTTTCTAAGGTAGGTGAAATGAGGACCCAGTTTGTGGGGGCAATAAGCTAACTTTGTATAAATATACAAAAGGATGAAGGCTATTGCTGAGCACATTGTAAGCCGCCCTGAGTCTTCGGAGAAGGGCGGCATATAAATCAAATTTTAAAAAAAAAATTATTTGAATTCCACCACTGATTACAAGGATTAAAACCAATGCAAAAATGACAGGCAGCGGAAACATAATTAATGGGTTCTATTGTGACGCTTGTATTTTAAGGGAGTAAATAAATGGATAAAGCATACCAGGTTAAATAAAAATTGTTTCTTGAGCAAAGGACAAGAAACTACTTTCTTTTTTGTCTCTTCACTAGATGAAGAAAGGTGATGACACTTTTTTATAGTGGTGCTTATTATTATCTAGTCATATTTTTTTTAACCAAAATTCCCTCTAGCATGATCCCGATGCACAGAGACACCAGAACATTTTCCTCCACACATTCTGAGGGGCTCAGAATAACTCAGCTGTAAGCAAGACTTTTGAAAGCCTACCTCTCTGAATCCAGCTTCATCAATCTGCGAACATCAGAGCAAAATTGGACACCAGTCACTGTGCAACTTGGATAAGCCTCACTATCAGAAGAGATAATCAAAATCTTTAATTGAACAAAAATCTAATATTCCTTGTAGAATGTGCTTGGAAAAATGGGCATCCCAGAACATTATTCTCACACAAAACCCATATACCAGTTAAGAAGTCACAGCATGAACAGAATATGGCAAAATAGCCTGGCTCCAGAAAGATAAGTGAGACAAGACTGTATATTTTCCACTTATTTATTCAATCTATATCACGGGTCCCCAACCCCTGGTCTGTGAATTAGTACCGGCCCATGGCCCACTGGGAACTGGCTGTGCAAGCGTTGGGCAAACACACAAAACTCCATTTGCACAAGTGACAGATGTATGTGCAAAACCATCCTCTCTTCCCCCATATCTGCTGCCCTGCTGCTGCTGCCAGTCCACCGAGCCGGAAGGATTGGGGACTGCTGACCTACATGATGAATATACAGTATAGTATAACACTGTATATAGCCATGATGGCGAAGCTATGGCATGACTTCCAATCCCACTGGAAGTCAGCAAACGGGCCATTTCCGGCCTCCGGAGGGCCTCCGGGGGGTGGTGGGGAAGGCCGTTTTCACCCTCCCCAGGCTTCTAGAAATCCTCTGGAGCCTGGGAAGAGCGAAAAATGGGCCTTCCGGTCCCATTGGAAGTCAGCAAAAGGTCTGTTTCTGGCGTCTGGGGGTGGGGATGGGGGTGGGGAAGGCCATTTTCGCCTTCCCAGGCTCCTAGAAAGGCTCTGAAGCCTGGGGAGAATGAAAAATGGGCCCACTGGGCCCACTGTGCCATTGCGTGCCAAAAGTGGGGGGGAGTGGGGGGAACACGCGCATGCGCGGGGCGCATTGAATTATGGGTGTGGACATGCATGCATGACCTCCCCGCCTTCCCCCGGCTTTTGGCACGTGACGGAAAAAAGGTTCGCCATCACTGGTATATAGTATATTAAGATTGGAAGAAGATGAGCGTTGCTTTAAAATTGGAGGAAGAAATGTTAATAGCTTCACTATGCTGATGACGCTAATTTGAATCTGCAAATAAGACTTGATGGGTCATAATTAATCAAAATGTCCAAATCAGCTTTCAGAAATCAACTCTCACAAGAGAAAATGCTTCATGAAAAGAGAAAATAATGGTTAGTTATTGTAACTGATGTTATTTGAGTTGGCATACTTTTAGAATTAAAAAAAAATAGAACTCCACTTAGGAAAGAAAGGTGGATGTGGGTGACAAAATCTCAGTTGCTCATTTGATTGATTAATAACAGATCCAACCTCCCCTCCCATCCTGCCTATACCCTTCCCATCTTTAATTGGATTATAGCGTTTGGCTGGTTTTTAATTTATTTATGTTTTTCGTATATTTAGTATATTTTCATGATTGTAAGCCACACAGATGGGCAACCAATACATTTTATAAATAAAGAAATAACTCCCTAATTATAATTTTATTATCAATTTTTCACTCTGGTTTCTATGAATCACATATATGGGTAGATAGCAAGCTAAATTATTTTCAGGCAGGTTTTGAGAGTCAGAAACAAGGAAACCACTCTCCCTAAAGCTGCATCCATATGAATCAAATGTTCAGCCTGTAATGCTTCACAGACATTAATAGTTATGCCTGCATTGTCTGGCAATTGGATGTTTGTGATAGTCAGACATAATTCAGGCGAACTGATCTCTAATGATATCTGGCACAATCCATATGATAGCAGTGACTCACTCTTCAAAATGAAGCATAATGGAAATGGGTTCTTTGCAAAAGGCTGACGTCTCATCCAAGCTAATGTGAATCTTCTATATAGATCTCTCTCCAATTGGTTAGAGAGAAAGACAATAAAGAGGATAATGTCCTGGTTGAAATTAAATTCTAATACTGTGTGCAGCATTATATGGTTGAAGTAAATTCCAGATATGACGACAAAGCATATAGATTACTAGTGTGTTGCAGAAATGAGACTGCAGTTGACAAATGGTTCAAACAGATGAGCTTAAAGAATATGAGAAGTTCTAAGCAGGAAGCAATGCTACATGAGCTTACTAATCCTACTTTATGAATATATGCCAACAGCTTCATGTCAAGCTGGAAGAAAGTATAAAGCGGCATACTTCAGGGCTCCATGCTAGGCTGTCTACAGTAGTCCTTGACTTACAATTCATTTAGTGACTTACAACGGCACTGAAAAAAAGTGACTTATGAATGTTTTTCACAGTTACGACCTTTGCAGCATCCCCATGATCATGTGATCAAAATTCAGATGCTTGGCAACTGGTTCATACTTATGACCATTACTGTGTCCCAAGGTCATAGGATCACTTTATCGTGACTCTCTGACAAGCAAAGTCAATGGGGAAGCCATTAGTTACCACCGGGTAACTAATTTATCAACCACAGTGATTCACTTAACAACTGTGGCAAGAAAGGTCATAAAATGGGGCAAAACTCACTTGATAAATGTGTCACTGAACAACAGAAATGTTGGGCTCAATTGTGGTCGTAAGTTGAGGACTACCTTTACTGTTGAATGTATTTATTAGTGACTCCTTACCCATGGTTATCATTAGCTAAAAGAGCATGTTTATTGAAAAAAAATAATAATACTGAGCATATAGTTGTACTTACTGGAAGTGTTTGATAACAAGAGATGTATCTGTGATCTCTTTGGGAATCTTGGTAACCATCAATGTCCGGGCCAGCTAAAAGACAAGAAAGGAAGAGGTCAGAAATGGAGACACTTTAATAGCTGCAACATTTGTCAGTTTCCAATATTTTGCCACTTAAACTCTAGTATTATTTGTACTCATTATTTTCTTCTAGCGTAGGACTACAGACTTATATTACAAGATGATATATTTGGCTTAAACTTTGCAAGAAAATATTTAGTGGTAAGAACAGTTTAATAATAGAAATGGCTAATTAAAATATTGCTGTGTCACCCTCATCCTGCATCACGCAGGGCTTTGCATATCTACTGCTATTTTATGACCCTGAGGTAACAAATTGCTTATGCGGTGAAAGCTTACTCCTCTCAGAATAAAATTTGTATGATCAAACTGAATTGCAGCATTTAAACAATCTCAAACTAATATTTGGACAAATTTCTTCCCTGGCCTGATACAACAACAACAACAACAACAAATAATAATAATAATATAATAATAATAATAATAATAATAATAATAATAATAATAATAATAATTATTTTATTTCTATACTGCCCTTCTCCCGAAGGACTCAGGGCGGTGTACAGCCAATTTAAAAACACAAGACACAACAATGATTAAAAATTAAAATAATTAAATAGATTTGGCCGGATTAAAACCCCAAAAATTTAAAATACCCTAATTTAAAATTATTATGTTGATAGCCCAGCCTGGCGGAACAACAGGGTCTTCAATGCGCAATGAAACACCCGGAGGTCGGAGATCTTACGTATTTCTGGGGGCAGTTCATTCCACAGGGCTGGGGCTCCCACAGAGAAGGCCCTCCCCCTGGGTGTCGCCAGCTGACATAACTTGGCTGATGGCACCCTGAGGAGACCCTCTCTGTGGGAGCGGACTGGTCGGTGGGAGGCTATTGGTGGCAGAAGACGGTCTCGAAGGTACCCGGGTCCTATGCCATGGAGCATAGGATGAATCATGAATGTCTAGATCGGTATTTTTAAGTCTTGACAAGTTTAAGATATGTGGACTTCGATTCCCAGAATTCTTCAGTCAGTATGCAGTCCACACATCTTAAACTTGCCAACATTGAGAAACACTAGTCTAGAGAGTGTCCATCTCTGAAAGGTGAGAAAGGTAGGTATCAACGAGGCCATTGCAATTATTACCTTTTCATTTTCCTTATATTCTAATTGGATGGAATGATGAGTCATGCAGAGAACAGTGATGATGAAATAGAGGAGAGCAAAGATACTATGCAGCCACAAGAGACGGTCACTGCAATAGAGCAAAAAGGAGAGACATTTTCAGATGGGAAAAATAGGTATCTTTATCAGAAAACAAGATAACTACTATTTCCTAGAAGATGCCAGCCATTCCTTGTTTTCAGCCATTGATTCGATTCATTTTATGTTGACTCTGTAAACTGCTTAGAGAGGGCTGTAAAGCACTTTGAAGCGGTATATTAAGTCTAAGTGCTATTGCTATTGGTCTATCTGTAATATAGAAAGTTGGCTTCACCATTGTATATTGTCATAGAATCATGATTAATGCATGGAAGAAGCCTTAGTCAACAATGTCTTGAAGGAAAACAAATCATTTTAATGCTTGCAACCAAAATAAAGCACCAAAATAAAAATTTCACCTGGCATTAATTCAAAATCACAAAGCTACATTATAGAAATCAGTGGTGCAGAATTTTTTAAAGACAGTAGCTCTTTTTGAGGGGAAGGACAGTTGGACATACATTTATATTTATTATTTGTAGCTTACAGTTCAACTGTAAGATACAAACATTGCAACCCACTTATGCATATATATACTGGACTCAGAAAGTTAGACAAAATAAATAAGGATTTATTGAACACTTATTTATTTATGTATTTACCGAAAATGGTCCATAATGCCATCATTATAAACAGTAAGTAATTTAACTCTGAAGAAATTGAATCACTTACTCTTTGGGAACATTTGCAATTGTGGTTCGGCCAAAATTAGCTGGATTTTTTCCTGAAAGAGAGAAAGGAGACAGAAGTTAGTGCATTTTTAACAAAAGGCATTTTATTCTTCTAAGAACAGCATTGTACTCATAATGCCTGCAAAGTTGTAGAGTGGTATTTTTAAGCTTTTAGAATGCTGGTGTTCTCAACAATTAATTGTCCAGTGAATTTGAAGGGCTACATACCAAGGAGATCACCAGAGAAGTTGACTGGAAGGATGACAGCCACAGAGAGCACACAGACAATCAAGAGCAGCACCAACAGATGCCGCTGGAAAGAGAGGTAGGTTGTGGCATCAATTCCACACTTGCTTTGAATTTCTTCATCTCTGAGAAAGGAAGGAAGGAAGGAAGGAAGGAAGGAAGGAAGGAAGGAAGGAAGAAAGAAAGACATGTCAACTCAATAAGATCCCCTTCTACCTTTCATCCAGAAATGGAAAAAAAAAAAGAACAGCATTGACTATGTAGTTTTCTTGCCAGAATAAAATAGATGACATGCTCAAGAGAGGGATTTTATTTCTATGCTTTATGCTTTATAAAATTAGGCCTATGTGACAAAAAAAAAAAAAAGTATTAGCAGGGCTCTTTAGTCCGTAAGTGTGCATACCCAAAGAGGAATTCCATTCCTTACTATCTTGAGTATCCTCAAATCAAAGAAAGCAATAAAACAAACAAAATCCAGGTATCCCACCTAAAACCTTAAAACAAGTTTTTTAAGTGGAATCTTTTTAGCATAAAAGGATAGAAAGGGCTTGAAAGGAGTTCCCCTTAAATAAAACAATAATAAAGTGAAATAGCAATATATAATAGTAATTCAGTGTAAAATTGTTTTTCTGAGCCATCACATATGACACCTCAAATACCACCTTACCTAACCTGGTGCTCTCTAGATGTGATGGATTGCAACCCTCCTTATCTCCAGCCAGCAGGAAACCTGCAGTTCAACACATCTAGAGGGCACAAGGTTGGGGAAGGATGGGTCAGGGTGAGAAGAAAACAGCATTAATTAATTTGCTTTCAAAAAAATTATTCTGTTTACTTCCCCACACACCCCTTTGTTTCTTTTCTAGGTTTTCATACATAAATTATTCTCTTCCTCTTACGCAGCCACCTGCATTCTTTTTTAAAAAAAAAATACAGATGAGGGACATATTTCTTAAAAAAAAACATGTACAGGTTTTCTTCAAGTCTGGCATTTCCAAATATGTTTTAGAACATGAATTTCACATGCCTTTGGATTTTTTTTTAAAAAAAATGAACATTGTGTTATAAAATCCAGTTCCATGAGAAGCCCAAAAGATCATGATGTTCCAATTTGCATATTAAATACTGAGGTATTGATTAGGAAGAAGCGGGAACTAAATTATTTTCTCAACACTACTATTTATTATTATTATTTTAAATTCTAAATTAGCGAGAGCCTTTAAAAAAAAAATCAAATTTAGAGACCACCAATCTCACTCTCAGAGTTAGTCTGGCAGTGTGTAATTAAAAACATAAAAACCATATAAACATACTAGATCTCAGTAAAAGGCAGCTTTTTGTAACAAACAAACTTGAAAATAATATCTTTATGACACAGTAATAGCTAAATGAGTGGGATGATTTCTTCTGTTTGAAGAGGCAACTGAGTGGGAGGAAAAATTAATTCCTTATTGAATTTCCAATTTCTCTCTTTTTTAAAAAAACAACCAGCATGGAAAGGAAAATATCATCACAGTAATCACTCTATCACATAAAAGATGGAGCAGATTATGAACTTTCGTCAATATCGCCACAGTGATATGTACTCACTTCATCTGGTAAATTGAAAGAAGCCAGGAGCAGAATCCCTAGGAAGGAAATTGGAGAATTTCAATGAGCTAGCTAAAATCAATTATAGAAGAAACTATTATCTATGTCTGTTTGTTCCCCCTAAATATGGTGTAAGAGTAAAGTAACTGAGCGTATTATTATTCTTGTCTTAAATAAGGATAAAATATTTGTTATTGTTAGTCGCGAAGTCGTGTCTGAACTATTGCGACCCCATGGACAATGTTCCTCCAGGCCCTTTAATGCCAAGTAACATTGGTCACAGGACCACAGGAGTTGAAATTTAACAACATCTGGAAGGACATAGATTTCTCAACTCTTGGCTTGGAATAAGGAAGATACAGTAAGGGACTTGGCCATGAGATCAGTATTCAGACTTAAAAATATTTTAAAACTGATTACTGTGTTTGAAATAAACTGTCATGAAGACAGGTTGTCCAAACGTTTTTAATCTTTTCCAGACATTTTTGAGGAAAAAATATTGTACAAATTATCAAAAGCAGGAGTTTCAAGCAGATGGACCCTTTACCTCATTGAACTTGGCATTTCTTTTGATTTAACAACATTATCAAATTGATATCAGAAAATAGCAGCTTGACAAGGGCAGCAATGACAATCACTTTGCCTTTTTGGGAAATTCACATGTCCATAAAGCTGATGGACATCATTCACTCTCAAGTCATCAGCAACCCTGTTTTTGCTTTCCTATATCAAGTTGATGGAAATGGGCAAATAGGGATAGGAATTCTCTTTGTCATAAAAGTTTTTTTCTAACCCTCCCTCCCCCGCAGCCCCTCTCAAACTTACCACATCTTTGTTGTCAGCATCCAAGGGGCTGCTCTCAGAAGGGGACTTCTCTTTTTCACTTTGTTCTCCGTAGAAGAGGGATGTCAGGCTTCCCATATATAGGAAGTAAATGACAGGGAAAAGAAAAGGGGGAATATGGAGAAAGATAAGAGGAAGACAGTGTAAATTAGATATAGAGGAGGAAAAGAAAAAGAACGGAGAGAGGAATATTATTCCAACCAAGCCACTTTTAAATATCTACAGTTCCACAACCTCAGGACACCAACAAGCCTAAAAGAAGAAGAGTGACAATATTCCAAGAAGATACTGATGCTCAAGAAAGTTTAAGAAAACAGATGTCTGCCCTTCTCCAATAAATGTTACAGCTTTAGCCGTCTTGGAAGAAGTGTGTAGGTGCCATTGTAGAGAGTATGGAAATGGAAGCCAGAAGAACATATGCAGCCAAAAGCGTTTTAATGAATTAAGGACTTTGGGATTGTACACATATATCCTTGTTCTTGCCTGAACCGCTTGAATTAGCCACATCTTTTTTGCTTCAAGTAAGAATTTACTAATCTTAGGTGGGGAGGGATGGAGAACTTCAGAGGGAACAAAATCTTAGGTGCATGATTGATTGCTAGAAAATTCAGTCATATGAATTCTTTAAACTATCTTCGATAATATTCTATGGCATCTTATTGGAGCTGAGAAATCAGAAGCCTCTGGTTACCTTTACTGGATTCTGATACATGCTCTGGTTTCTCTATCTTTATTGCTTTGTAACCAGGGGTGGGCTGCTGGGGGTTTGCAGGGGTTCAGAAGAACCACTAGCTAAAGTTCTGTGCAGTTTGGAGAACCCCCAAATCCCACTCCTGGCTCTAATTTTTCTGCTCTTAGGAAGCAGACGCAGCCTTATACTAATTTAGCATCTTTGTGTATATAATGGCCAGGATGATATTGCTGAATTGTAATTCCTAATAGTCCTTTGAAAGTACTTTTTATCTAGTACAATACCATCTAAAATTAATTTCTGCTTTTAAAAAAAACTGAAGATGCTGGGAGTTACATTTGGGAACTTCTGTGGGTGAAGCATAGTCCCCACCCCCCAATTAGGATTGACCATATTCATATCTACCAAGGTATATCAAACCCCAACATGGAGACCATGATTTGACAAGTTTGAAGCTCATGCTCTCCGCTGTACTAGGCATTTGGTCCATTAGTTAGGGAAAAAAATAAGTGCACCAAATATTGTTAAGCATTGCTATTGTGCAGTGATACTCCCTGCATAGCAGCATGGCTGAGGTAATGCAAGATACCTACGGAAGTACTCATAACCTAAACATCCCTTTGCTCATAGGTAGCATTTCATGATTAGACTAAGACCAGAATTTAAAGCCCTCGTTCTAGACTCCATTTTGATATCTGCAATCTTTGGCACTTACTTGAAAATTATATCTGGAAAAGATGTACCATAAATAGGAGAAGGAACAATGCCCAGAGCCAAATCAAATCACCAGTGGAAAAGTAACCAAGAATTAATCAATCTTACATAATAGCATTAAGAATGGCCAGATCAGAATTTTCAGTAAGAGTAATTACAAAACTGTAAGCATTCATGAAAAGGACACCCACTACATATTACAAAAATGTGATCCTCTAGAATAGATTAAAAGCATGGATATTTGAAAATTCTACTTTAAGGTAATGGTGAAGAAACAGTATTTTAAGTATTAGATGCTGACTCTAACCTTCCCATTCACCCAACATTAAACAATCAAATGAAACCCATCATTATCAGACAGACAATATATTATAGATTAACAACCAAGAGAATATTTTAAAGTTTACCCATGTTACCAGATGACATTCAAACATCCTGTGGAAGGAAGAAAAGCCACTGCAAAATGGGAAGGAAGTGAATTAAAACAATTCACATAGAGCAGAATGTCTATCGAGATTCTCAATCATCCAGGTCATGGTTGTCCCAAAGGTGATTTTTCAAAAGGCAACTAGACTTTCTTATTCCCCCCCCCCTTGAAGACGTTTCATTACTCATCCAAGAAGCTTCTTGAATGAGAAGTGAAACATCTTCAAGGAAAAAAAAACCCGAAATCCAGTTGCCTTTTGAAAAATCACCTTTGGGACAATTAGGAGCAGATCCACCCTACTTGACATCTCTAATAAAATTAATCCAATCTGCCTCCACCACTCAACCCACCTTCTTTTCTGCCTTCTCTGGAAGAGAAAAAGTATCACTGATATAATTTTATTTTGTTTTACCCTGGGTCTTTTTAGTTTCAAGGCCAAGAACTCCTTGAAACACAGATGGAGAAACCTTTTCCATCTTGACAAACAGTTGATTTGGGGAAAGCTAATTGATCCTGGGTAGAATTGATAGACTGTCAAATGCTCCTTTCAAAGCAGTGGCGATTCTTTTTCTTTCACAAGAATTCTCAATTCCCCAAGCCTTCAATTCCCTTATCACCACTGTATCATTTACTCGTAGGAGTTCCATGTGCTTGGAGGCAAACGGCTGATTAAAAGAAGAACAACAGTAGTCAGTGGGAGGGAAACCTTCAGAGAGTAATAACAAGCAATATTACTAAGTGAGATGTATAGGATGCAGACAAACATCTCAAAAAGGGTCAGAATTAGAGAACTGCACTGGTGTTTTTTCTTCTTCCAAGAAAGCTGTTTTGATTATTCCTACATTACAGGAAATAGAAGGAAGCCTATTAAGGCTAACATACAGCTACCACTTAGGGAAATCATTCCTGAGGCAAGTTATCAACCAGAGATTTCTTGGCTCATGGTTCACTGATTTATTTCACCAATTAACTATCATGTGATCTTCTGCCCAAAAGTATCTTACATCTTGCTCTTCTAATTTCTTATTTACTAAAATATGCCTTTTAAGTCCACAATCTTCCTCCAGATATCTTAATTTTCAAAACCTGGGCTGGTGGCAATCTCAGTTGAACTTTTCAGTACCACATATCAATGGATAAGGTAAGAGGTTAAAATTTTTTCCCCCATATTCCATCAGTGGTATAATTTCAGCCAGTTCTTTGGTATTGTCACCGTCTGATTTTGTTGCTGTTCCTTTTCTTTCCAATTGTGCAGTTTTACTATATTGATCGAATATAGAAACATTTTGGGTGGCAAGGTCTATACAACAGTGAAACAATTTATTTTTAGAAGTTCTGGGTTCTCCATCTCTGGAGGCTACAAAGAAAAGGTGAGACAGCTACTTCTTAATGGTGGTTCAACTGATTTTCATGCATGTTAGAAAGAGATGGACTAGATTATTTCAACTCCACAATTCTGGGATTTCATCTATATTATGAATGTTATGAAGGTGCTTTGGATTGTTCCTCTTTTAAAAGGAAAATTTAAGGGAATTTAATTATTTTTTCTTCTACCAGAATTAAGGGACATTGCAAACATTTTTCACTGTCTACTAGTCATGTAGAGTTAATGACATTTTTTCTATTATTATGCCAGTTTTGAAGCTTTAATAATACTGCCCTTGTGCATTATATTCTCAACAGAGCACCCATCAGTACTGATAATTTTGGACTACGTACAGCAGCCATCTCCAATCTGATGCCCTGCAAAATGCTTGGACTGCTAGTGGCAGGTAATTCTTAAGAGTTGCAGTCACAACATATCTGTGGGCATTAAACTGGAAAAGTCTGGTAAACAGCAAAATATTTCATAATTTTCTGTGCCTTTCAGCTTTTGCATCCTTTTAGAAAGGTTAGATTTTACCTGTCATTATCCATCAGCAAAGCGAGGCGCCCATAATCCCAAGCTGCTTTCCGAAGGCAGGAAAAGATGAAGAGAAGTACCTGCAATTGGAGAGAAGCATTATCGATTTAATGAACTTCTCCACTATGTAAATACTCCATTCTTTTCCCCTTGTCTGTGACAGAAATAGCAGTAAAAATGATAAACAACAATAATAGCTGCAGAATGGGATTTCTGCTTCCGTAGATTTTCAGAGCTCACTTAAATATTAAAACTTGGTTTTTGAATCGTTTTCTGGGTTTGCACAACGGACTGAAGTGTAACCAGGCTGCATTCATATGACCACAGCACGACCAAAGAAACTAACATTAATGAAGCTTAACCTGTGGTACAAATGCATCCATTCAGTTTTTAACAGATCTATATGTTGCATGTACCCTGCCAATATTAATTAAAGATGGAAAAATAAACAGGCAGGAATTTTTATATGCTAATTCTGTCTTGAATAGCATGAATATATGTGGAATTCACACTAAGATATAAATGTGCCTCTCAGTTGAATTCTGAACTTGAGTTAAACTGGAGAAAAAGTGTAAAACAGTACAAAGTAAAGATGAGCAAGAAATTATGAATTCTCCTGCTTGTTTGTTGAGGTGGTCTCTAGATCAAGAGTTCCCAACCCCCGGGCTGTGGCCCACTACCGGCTCATAGCTTGTTTCAAACTGGGCCACGCGAGCAATGGGAAAGCACTTGCGCAAATGGAGCTTTGCATGTGAGCACTCTCCACTCGCATGAGTGGAGCTTCATGTGCAAGAACAAGTGCCCTCTGCTTGTGAGTCCTCCACTCTCATGAGCGGGGTTTCATGCGCGAATGCAAGGGCCCACTGCTTGCACAAGTGGAGCTTCATGCATGAGTGCAAGCACCTCTGTTCAAGCGTGAAGCTTCATTCATGTGAGTGGAGGACACGCATGACCACTGCTTACACTAATGGAGCTATATGCACGTGTGCGCATACCACTCACAGCCCCCCTTTCCTGGGCTGGGGCTGAAGGTGGAAAGATTGGGGACCGCTGCACTAGATAAAATATATATACTGGATGGCTGGCTGCAGACCTACCTGGCCTGTGTGGAACACTGGCTGGGTGAAGCAATGTTGCAGAGGGAAGTTTGCTGTCACCTGACTGAATGAATGGGGTTATTCCAGTGGTGGGATTCAGCCAGTTCGCACCACTTCGGGAGAACCAGTTGTTAACTTTCTGAATAGTTTGGCAAACTGGTTGTTGGAAGAAATCATTAGGGCAGAGAACCGGTTGTTAAATTACTTGAATCCCACCACTGGGTTATTCCTATTCATTACCAATATGAAGTCATATCACTCTGACTACAGGCCATATGATATGTTTGCCATAGCTTTAATATTCAGGAGAGAATATTTCTCTTTGTATCAGTGGAGATTTTTTTTTCTCAAGAGTTCAAGAAACATCTAAGGAAGAAACCAGTGAGAATTATATCAGGGAATGAAGGAGAAAACTGCCATATCTCATGCAATGTGTTTGATGTAAAGATATACAATTGTCCAAATGTTACTGCTTGTCTGTCATTCCTACCTGTTATGGGTGATGATTTATGAACAGATAATAAAGGAACATAATTTTTCTCCTTCTCACTCACCATCCAAAGGAGGAAGTTGAGAGCAAGTACTGTGGGCACACCACCAAACGGCAGCCCTTGCAAGACAGTGCTGTGGGAACGGGCGCTGAAGCATTGCTCCTCTGTAATGTTGGTCAGAGTATCCAGATATGTGAGAACATTCAGAGAGACGGAGTTCGTATCTTCTGATGAAGATGTGGTCATGATCATGTTGTCCATCTCAAATCAGTGGTCTCTTAGGGAGTTCTGCTGTGTAAAATACCTAAGAGTGAGTTAGGGGAAAAGAGAGAAACTAGGCTTCAGCAGGCTTTGAAAGGGGCCATGTCCATAGCTCCGGACACTAGGTTTCTGAGACTGAAAAGGGCCTCTCAAAGGAGACTTTCATATCTGAGGATACATTTATCCTTCTATAAGCTTGTTCTCTGCTGTGTCATACAGAGATATAGAGGACAGAGGACAGTCAGATCCTTGCTAAAACAGCCTACAGAGTTGTCAGGTAGTATTTTAACATTATCTTTTGAATGCTAAAGCCAAAATATATATACTATTCTAAGAAGATGAGTTAGATGCCGGAAGTCCAGATGGAAAGTTAATATACCCAAGAACAGTTCATGGTCCCTAATGCCAACTTTGAGAGTGGAAGGCAAATTAAAAAGAATGCTGTTTTCAGCAAATGTATCAGCCTCTGATATTCCCTTATATACCATATTTTTTGGAGTATAAGACGCACTCCCCTCTAAAAAAGTGGGTGGAAATGTCTGTGTGTCTTATAAAGTGAATGTTGCTGAAGCCCCGCCCACCTGCTGGCCCCCACCCTTCGGCCTCTGCCTCCCAGCAATTTGCCTCCTTGCAGCAAACAGCAAACAGCGTGGTCAGTTTCAGCACAGCCTGATTAACACGAGCAGCTGATTGGCGGTTGGATCTGCATCCCGGAATACCTCCTATCAGCTGCTGCAGGCTGCAGGGATCACCGCCACCCATCAGCACCATCGCCGCCCATTGCCACTGCCACCTATTGCCTCCTCCGTGCACCCCATTTTCCGCCTCCGCGCATCCTGTTTTCAGCCTCCGCGCACCCCATTTTCGGCCTCCATGTGTCCCATTTTCGACCTGTTCCAGGCGGTGGGGATCACCTCCACCTATCCCCACTATTTGCTGTAAGGAGGCAAATTGCTGGGAGGCAGAGGCAGCTTTTTTGTGTGTGTTTTCCTCCCCAAAAGCTAAGTGTGTCTTATACTTTGGAGCATGTTATAGTTCAAAAAATATGGTAGTATCCAGAAACTGGCTCATCCCAGGTTCAGCTGTAAGTCATTGTTATTTTGATTTCCAAGGTGTTTGCTTTTCCCAGGGGAGCCTGACCTTGTAGTCTGGCACTTTTCCCATTAACCTTTTCTCCATGTAATAGCAGCAGTACTTAGAGCTCAAAAGCTGTGGGTCAGAGAGGTGAGCTAGCAGGACTCCCTACTCCCTGTTTAGGACTTCAGATCAATGTCTAAAGATACACCAGATATACCTGATTCTGCTTCAGACTCTACCCCCTGCAACGAGGGCTTCTCATCTTCATCCTGACACCTCATTCTCCTCCAAGGAAGAACCCAGGGCAATGATGACAGCCACTTATTAAGTAGACCTACCCCATCAATATCTGAAGAATTGAAGGTGAAGATTAGGAGAGATTCTCTTTACTAGCAGTACTTCAGGCTTTGGAATTAACATCCCCAGAAACCTCTGTGCTCGCTTTAATGGCATTTCATCCTACAAAATTAAGAAAAAGGAAAGATATAAGGGGAAAGCACTTTGAACCACAGGGCTGTTTAGGTTGTCTCTCTGTTTGTATTTTCAAAGTGACTAATATTAATTTTGGTTTTGGGGTTTTGTTTTGTTTTTGGCTTCTAAATAAGATTGCACTTTTGTGATGTTCTTTCTATTAAACTCACACACACACCGGCATCTTTTGTCTTTGCTATTTTTGATGTTGCCTTTTCAGCTCACTTTTTAGGAAAGGTTGGATCTTTAAAATTAAAAATAAAACCACTGTATTCATATTGCAGAGCTTAACAGAAAAAAATGTTATGTTAGGGAAACTGAAAAACAAGTGACGCCCCCAAAAGATGATGTTGTGTTTATTAATTATATAAACCAATTTATCCAGAGAGGCAGTGGCTGACTTTCATTAGACAGACATCTATTGGGGATACTTTAATTTGGACTGTTGCACTGAACATTGATGGTCTAAATGGCCCATTGCAGCTCTATTATTTTAATTGCTTCTATTATGTAGATTGGTGTTAAAAGGATTTGTATACTAATAAGAAATGATCAAAGAAACATGAAGAAAAACATTACATTGTGATATATGAATGGGTCAGTCAGCTAGTGACACATTAGTAAAGTGGGTGAATTAAGAATGGGCACTAAGCCTTGTGGAAATGGAGCACCAGTGGATTTACCATATTGGACAGGAATTTGATAATTGTGGTCCAAAGCCTACTGGAAGGTGCTAAATTAGGTAAATCCAGTTCAGAGAATTGCAAATGTTAGCTTGGGAAAGCACGGGATCAAAATGTGGGACTCCAGAGAAATCTTTAAAAAGAAAGATATATTATGTACACTACTTTCCTGTGAGATGAGAAATTATAAGGGCAGCTTCACTGGGCTTGGGCTACCTTTGTAAAGGGAATATATTGCTTCTATGCAACGATCTTTTATTTGCCAACATGCCAATAATAGCCCATAAGTGGAAGCAAGCAGCAATACTCTGACTTGTCTCTTAAGGCATCTGGTATTTCAAAATGATTTTAGCTTCCAGCTAATGGAATGCCATCCTCTCCATTCTTGTTTTTAGTCTAGTATGCCCCAACTCCCTCAAATAGGATGGTGTAAAAGGCAATTGTAAGAAATTTAGCTGACTCTCTGCCAACCTCCCAATGATTAGAAAACCTTTTAATGGCAGAAAGCACTAGAAACACATTGTTCAGATTGATCAGATACCTTGTTTCCCCCAAAATAAGACATCCCCTGATAATAAGCCCAATTGGGCTTTTGAGCGCATGGCAATAAGGCCAAGTGCTTATTTCAGGGTTCAAAAAAATATAAGACAGGGTCTTATTTTCGGGGAAACATGGTAGTCCTGTATCTCTAAACAGATACAATTCAAAACAATGGAGTGTGCAATCCATCTCTTCCTCCATTCTTCCTTTTTTCCCTCGTCAAACATTTATCCTATCACTAGGTCCAAAGGGACGTAACACAGGCACTAGGTACATTTCCCCTGCTCTGGGCAGCCTCAGAATACGGAATAACAGAATTGGAAGGAACCTTGAAGGTCTTCTAGTCCACCCCCCTGCTCAAGCAGGAGACCCTATCCCATCTCAGAGAAGTGGTTATCCAGTCTTTTCTTAAAAGCCTCCAGTGATGGAGTAGCCACAACTTCTGTAGGCAAGCCGTTCAT